AAAAAAAAAAAAAGACCTTGCCTTTTATTCAAATCATGACCAACTCAACATTGGAGATAGTTTGTGTTATATTTTTTCTATTCTAATTATTTGCTTTTTTAAAAAATTTTTTAATTGTGATAAAATACACACAAATTTTACCATCTTGATCATTTTAAGTATATAGTTCAGTGATATTAAATACATTTGTAATGTTGTATAATCATCACTGCCCATCTCTATAATTCGTCATCTTACAATACAGAAACTCTGCTCATTAAATAGTAACCCCTCATTCTAATTACCCTGTAGCCTCTGGCAACTACCGTTCTGCTTTTTGTCTCTATGAATTGATTGCTCTAGGTACCTTTTATAAGTGAAATCATACAGTATTTGTCTTTTCGTGATTAGCTTATTTTACTAGCATAATGTCCTTAAGGTTAATCCATGTTGTAACATGTATCAAGAATTCCTTTCTTGTAGGGCTGGGGATATAGCTCAGTTGGTAGAGTGCTTGCCTTGCATATACAAGACCCAGGCCCTGGGTTCAGTCCCCAGTACCACACACACACAAAATCTTCCTTGTTGAGGCTGAATATCCCATTTACTGGTCAATGGACACTTGGGTTGCCTCCATATTTTAACTTTCATGAATTATGCTGCCATGAACATGAATGTACAAATATCTCTTTGTAACCTTGTTTCAAATTGTTTTGCCTGTACACCCAATAATGATATTGCTGGATTATATGGTAGTTTTCATTTTTTGAGGAATTGCCATACTATTTTCCACATTGGCTGTACCATTTTACATTTCCACCTTCAGTACACAAGGGTTTCAATTTCTTCATATGCTCTTCAACACTTATATTCTAGTTTTTGGATAGTATCCTTCATATGTGTATGAGATGGTATTTCTTTGTAGTTTTCATGTACTTTTTGGTTGTGTGTGTGTGTGTGTGTGTGTGTGTGTGTGGTCTTCTTTCGTCATTTTTTTTTTTCTTTTGATTTTGAGACAAGGTCTTGTTATGTTGCCAAAATTGTCCTCATCCCTGTGCTCAACTTATTTTTTTACCTCAGCCTCCCAAGTCTATTTTTGAAGTTTTTTGTTGTTGTTGTTGTTGTTCACTTTTGGAGTTCTTTTAATAACTCTGGATATTAATCCCATATCTGATATATTATTTGGAATTATTTTTATCCATTCTGTGAGTTGCCCTTTTTGTTTTCTTTTGGTATTTTCTTTGGATGCATGTAAGTTTAAATTTTTGTGTAGTTCAGTTTGTTATTTTTGTTGTTCTTGCCTGCCTTTAGTGTTATATTCAAAACATCATTGCTGTGAAGTTTTGTATTTTCTTCTGAGTTTTGTAGTTTTAGGTCTTACAGTTACATCTTTGATGCATTTGGTTTTTGTATGCGATGTTAAGAAAGCGTCTGGCTTCATTCTTTTGCACGTGGATATCCAGTTTTCCCAACACATTTTAATTTGTAATAATACCTACCTCAGAGCAGTGTTGTGAGGATTGATGGAAAGTTTAGAACACAGAGGCTAATACTCATTCAGTTATTAAGTTCTCAGTAAATGGAAAGGTTAGAAGTTATTTCTCTTCTGGTCTCATATCTTGCCACCCTTTGCCTTGCACCTTATGCTCCAATAAAAGATGCTAGCTCCTTAAATCTGCTGTTTTCGTGGCTCTGTTTCCACTCAGGATGCTTCCTCTGCCTGGCATAGAGGCTGCCTTTGCCCTTTTAGCCTGGTAAACATCTACTCATATTTCAGTGTTTGCTCAAGTGTGCCACCTCCCGTCTGCCTCTCCTTCCATTCATTTCCAAGCTGAGCACTCTCTTGTCCTTTCTGTGCATAGTGGGCACAGACTTATGCCTAGCAGAAGGTACTTTAATATTTGCTAATTTCAGATATACTCTTCTGTGTCTCCATAACCATAAAATTGCCACAGAACTTCTTAGATTGCAGTTTCCAAGCACTATTTCCCAGGCAGTGCCTTGATAATTTTGGTTCAGAAAATATGGTTGCAGTAACAATATATTACAGTGTAAGCTGCTAGGATTTTGGGACAAAATATTCATCTTTCTGTAAGTTTATACTTTATTTCTACTTATTTTTATATGTTTTGAAAATAAGTATAGCTAACATCAAGCATTCCACAGACAAAAATCATTGTTTGTTGCTCATTAATGTTCTCCATTTTCTTATATTTTCATTTCTAATCAGAGAATCCTCCAAGATGACATTCAGAGGAATCTCCTCTTTCCTGATACACTTTTAAGTAGGCATGTGTTACCTCATGTTGATTTTGAACACATGACAGCACCAACCACAATTCTTCACTTGTGTGCAATTTAAATTTTATTTTTTCCCCGCAGAATGTTAATGTTCCAATTAACCCCTTTGCTTTTATTATCTATATAACATGACATTATCAGATTGTTCTTAAAAAATTTTTGTATCTCTGTTTATATTTGTCTTCTTTCATTTTGTGTGTGTGTGTGTGTGTGTGTGTGTGTGTGTATAAAAGAGAGACCTTTATTTCATAAGAGTTGGTGCTAAATTTCAAACATAGAGCAGTAGTTTTCTGGAATGTCCCAGTCAGTTGTTTTTTTTTTCAAAATTAGGTATGTATGACGGCAGAATGCATTTTGATTAATTGTACACAATTGCTGTACAACTTTACATTTCTATGTAGTGTCTCATTATGTGTGCAGTCATATGTGCACCTAGGGTAATGATGTCCATCTCATCCCACCATCTTTCTTACCCCTGTACCCCTTCCCCACCCCTTCCTCCCCTTTGCCCCATCAAAGTTCCTTTATTTTCCCCACACACTGCCTTATTATGGATCAGAATCCACTTATCAGAGACATTTGCCTTTGGTTTTTGGGATTGGCTTACTTTGCTTCGCATGATATTCTCTACCACCATTCATTTATCTCCACATGCCATGATTTTATTCCTTTTTGCATATATACCACATTTTCTTTATCCATTCATCTATTGAATGGCATCTAGGTTGCTTCCACAGTTTAGCTATTGTGAATTGAGCTGCTATAAACATTGATGTGGCTATGTTACTGTAGTATGCTGATTTTGAATCCTTTGGGTATAGACCAAGGAGTGGGATAGCTGGGTTAAATGATGGTTCCATTCCAAGTTTTCTAAGGAATCTCCATACTGCTTTCCAGATTCGTTACACCAATTTGCAGTCCCACCAGCAGTGAATGTGCCTTTTTCTTCACATCCTTGCTAATATTTATTGTTGTCTGTATTCTTAATAACTGCCATTCTGACTGGCGTGAGATGAAATCTTAGAGTGGTTTTGATTTGCATTTCTCTAACTAATAGAGATGTTGAACATTTTTTTATGTATTTGTTGATCGAATGTATAAAATCGGTATGCAACAAAATGAAACTAAACTCCTATCTCTCACCATGTGCAAAACTCAATTCAAAATGGATCAAGGACCTAGGAATTAGATCAGAGAGCCTGCGCCTAATAGAGAAAAAAGTAAGCCCAGATCTTCATCACATAGGATTAGGATCCAACTTGCTTAACGAGAGTCTTAAAGTGCAAGAAATAAGATCAAGAATTAATAAATGGGATAGATTCAAACTAAAAAGCTTCTTCTCAGCAAAAGAAACAAACAATGAGTTGAAGAGAGAGCCTATATTTTGGGAGCAAATGTTTGCCACACTCACATCAGAGCACTAATTTCCAGGATATATAAAGAACTTAAAAAACTTAATACCAAGTAACAAACTAACCCAATCAATAAACGGGCTAATGCAGCAGTCTGGCTGGGCACAGTTCACCAGCCACTTGTCAAGTAGATACGAACTTTATTTTTAGAACACACATGCTACACCACACTCAGAGCCCAACTGCTTCTGGAGAGCCTCTCAACCCCCCCACTCCTCCCGCTCTTGAGGCCGATTGGCTGGGTCGCGTAGGCGGAGCCAAAAGAGTCCCCCAATAAGCAGTTCCGTGGTCTGAAAGGTCGGGGAAACAGCCCAATGAGCATCACCGCAGAGGAGCCAATCAGCTGGCAGCTGGAAGTTTGCTGGGGCCCGCTTTGGCTGTGGCTCAACAGGCTAAGGAGCTGAACAGACACTTCTGAAGAAGATATACATTCGATCAACAAATATATGAAAAAATGTTCAACATCTCTTATCATTTAAAAAAAATAGTAATTTTTTAGTTGTAGTTGGACACAATACCTTTTTTTCACTTATTTATATTTGATGCTGAGGATTGAACCCAGGGTCTCGAATGTGCAAGGTGAGTGCTCTACCACTGAGCCACAACCCCAGCCCTCTGTATCATTTTTGGTGTAGTCTTAACTCCTCAATAAAACTGAGTGCCTTGATAGCAGTGCTTGCTTAAAAACAAAACAAAACAAACAAACAAACAAAAACAACAAAAAACCAAAAACCAAACTGTGTAGGTACCTAGTAATTTATAGACCCAGATACTCAGTGCAGATCTGTAGCCGCTGCCGCCATCATCATCATCATCATTATTTTGGAAGTAGGGATCAAACCCAGGGCTTTGGGAATGCAAGGCAGTCACTTTGCTACTGAGCTACATCCTAGCCCTGGAGCCCACATTATTGTTAAATAAGGTGGGCATTGGTAGTTTTAGGAACAGGGGTATTTTATGTGTAAGAATAATCTTTCCTACAAAAAGTATGAATTTGTTTTAGCCAGCTTTTTTTGCTTTTGCAACTAAAAGACCCTATGAGAACAATTGTAGAGGAGCAAAAATTTATTTTGGGTTTCAGAGGTCTTAATCCATAGAGAGCAGTCTTTTCCTTGGGGCTCAAGAACTCATCTATCTATTTATCTTTCTTTTTCTCTTTCTCTCTCTCTCTTTGTTTCTTTTTCCTTTGGTATTTTAGACACCTATTTCCTGACCAAAGACTTATAAAATGTTTTCTGTGAAGTTTTATTATAATTTGTTTTGAATGACTAGATGTAATTAAGAAACCTAATTCTCCCCAAATGATCTTGTCTGCTAGTGTTCCCTATGTTGTGTGGAATGGTGGGAGTGGTAACTTCTGCAGTGCGAGCTCAGAATTGTTTCTTAATGGTAGACCTACATGTTTTGCAGACTTCTGAGATCAACCTTAAGTCTCTCTTTGTTTCATCACAAGCTATTAAAAGAACTTCTAATTGGCTAAATTGGTCAGCTAATAGTGTTTATATTAAGTTAAGAACTGCATTAATATTGAAGAACAAGACATAAAATGTCTAATAGTGCATTCTGACTGTTTGAAAATAGTAAATTTTTATTTTTTTTAATTGATGTCCTTGACTTTGTCCCTTTTACATAGGTGGTATATGATGGACTTTTTGGTACAAATACAAATTCAAAGTTAAGAACATTATCCCTGCAATTTGTACATCACATTTGTATAACGTAAGTTCTTTGATCAATCGATCGCTCTATCTATCTATCTATCTATCTATCTATCTATCTATCTATCTATCTGGGACCTGGGATTGAACTCAGGGACGCTTAACGACTGAGCCACATCCCCAGCCCTTTTTAATTTTATTTAGAATCTTAGGGCCTTGCTAAGTTGCTGGGGCTGGCTTTGAACTTGCAATCTTCCTGCCTCAGACTCCTGAGATGCTGAGATTACAGGCATGTGTCGCCATGCCTGGCTTGAACTATTTTAATTGTAAAGTTTTTAACTGCTGGAATGATCAAATGACTTAAGTGTACTTTTTTTTAAAACCCATCTTAACTAGAAAGAAATAATTTGTTTAATTTAAGAATTTTCAGATTTTAATAGATAATTTTATTTATTTCACTTGTCTCTAATTATTTTAAGTAATCATCTGAAAAGATATGCAATTCATATCTCTCTTTGTGTATGTGTGTTTTTTCAAAAGCTGTCCAGAAATCAAGATTAAGCCATTAGGTCCAATGCTTTTGAATGGCCTCACTAAACTAATCAATGAATATAAAGAAGTAAGTGCCTTAATTTTGAAATTTTACATTTTATTTTATAAAGGATTTTCTATGGTAAATCTTTCTAGTTTGTTTATAGAGTTAAGATTTGCTATCTATTATTCATTGTTTCTTAACATTTTTACTTGAAGTAGTGAAATTTCAGAAACTATTGCCATTTTCTGCTTTTTAGTTTTTTAAAGAACTAAGTGCTAAAATTGATACAAGTCTTGAGGGTTCATACCACTTCTTTAAATAAGATATTTTTAAATTAAATTCATTTTATGCTACTTCTGTGTACCATGCAAAAATGAAAAGGGTTAGTTTGTTAATTTTATGATTTATTTCCATATGGAAGTATTTGGCTTTTCTACTTTCACTAGGGAAGAGTTAATTTTTAGGGGCTGAGAGTTTATTGATTTGAAATTCTATCAAAACATGCATTCAGTAAATTTTTGATTCCTTAAGCTAAGTGGGATGAGGATACCTCGGATTAGATTTTTGAATCTTGTTTTTCCTGCTATATTTCTCTGTTTCTCTTACCATCTCCACTATTTCAGGAGAATTTGCTAAAAAAAAGGTAAGGTTTCAAGAACTCTAGTTAGCCTGTATTTCTTCAGTCTTACCTAAATATGAATGCATGTTTGCAGTAGTAGAGTGAGATCAAGATCTTGCTATTGAAAATTAGAATTGAATTTTAGTTTTGTTCTTTAGTGAATTACTTAAATTCTTAGGACCACTGTCCTTTTTTTTTTTTTTTTTTTTTAAAGAGAGAGTGAGAGAGGGGAGAGAGAGTGAGAGAGAGAGAGAATTTTTTTTTAACATTTATTTTTTAGTTCTTGGTGGACACAACATCTTTGTTGGTATGTGGTGCTGAGGATCGAACCCGGGCCGCACGCATGCCAGGCGAGCGCGCTACCGCTTGAGCCAAATCCCCAGCCCCAGGACCACTGTCCTTTATGAGAAAAATTCAAATAATAGTATTACCCCACTGGATTATTGTAAAGATAAAATGAGTCAACACATAAATTTTTCAGCACAGTGAAGCAATATTAACAAATATTATTGATGGAAAACTGTTCACTTGTCATGCAGCTGTGCCTGACTTCTAGCTTTTTCTCCTACTGAAAAATCCCTGTATGGTTTTTAAGGTCTAAGGAAACTTTACATTAATTTATGGGTAGATAATCGGATGCTTTGAAGTGGTTGGTAGAAATAAAAATGCTTTGGGGCTTTCGGAGAGAATTATATATTTCAAAATAGTTTAGAGAGTCCAGATAAACCATGAGAATCTAGTCCTCCTACTTCCAGGTGACATCTGCAAGCCTTCTTGACATATGTATTCTTGAGTGGCTCTTCAGATGTGGAAGGGTGAATCCTAAGTTAAATGTATAAATTTCACCTTACAGAAATTTGTTACTATTTAGAGTAATCATTTAAACTTCTGGTTTTCATAAAATTGTGTCGGAATTTTCAGGAGGGAACTTCACCAATTTACTTGATGACTCTGACCCTCTTAATTTTCTGTGGTAGAAGATATAAGAGGAAGCTCTTCATTGTAGTGCAGATTTTTAGAAAATCACACTATAGCTTACTGCAATCTGGTGAGAAAGGGAGGATCTTACTTATATTAGTGATATTAGTGATGAATGTTCTAATAAGTTAAGCTGTTTTCCTAGTGTGTTGAAGATGGATTTTGGTGTTTGCAGGATGCATGGTGTTGAAAATATCCTGCACTTAGCACCAGCTAAGAGAAACCTTCTATAGATGATCACTGCATTTTACTTTTGGAATAGGTTGGGAAGAAAGGGTTTTCTTTTTTTTTTTTTTTCAAATTGTCGTTTGTTTGTTTTCGTTGCTGTTTTTTTGTTTTTCCTTTTTATACTGTGATGGATGCTGGGTTTGAACCTTTTTTGTTGTTGTTCAGATGCTATTATCATGTAGTTAGAGTGAGATCTAGATTTAGCAAGAAGTAAAATAATGCATGTAATTGCAGCGAAAAGGTTTTGCTGTTTACTTTGTTTTGTCTGTTTTTTCTTTTCTTTTTTCTTTTTTTTCTTTTCCTTTTCTTTCTTTCTTTTTTTTTTTTTTTTTTTTTTTTTAATTTTAAGGACCCTAAACTACTGTCAATGGCATATTCAGCTGTTGGAAAACTCTCCAGGTGAGTAAAGTCTTTTTCAGTGGGAGATATCCTGTTGGTAAACTGAGAAAAAACTGGCATTTAATAATGAATGCTGAATAAATTTGTTGTGATTCTGAAAGGAAATGTATTTTAATGGCCATTAGTTGTTTAGAAAACTCTTCCTTTTGTAGAAGAAAGAAGATGTAAGACATTTAAATTTACATTTGAAGATATATTACCATAAAAATGTATTCTTCCAATGGGATTTTGAACTGAATTGCATGATAATGGGTTAGAATTTTTGTCCCTTACAGACTTTTGATTGACCTTAAGTGTTCTTATTGCTACTAACCACTAAATTCTAAAATCCCTATGGTCATTTTTGTCTAGTGATTCTTTTTTTGTGTTTATATTGTTATTTATTTATTTTTTTTTAAAGAGAGAGGGAATTTTTAATATTTATTTTTCGGCGACACAACGACTTTATTTGTATGTGGTGCTGAGGATGCCAGGCGAGTGCACTACTGCTTGAGCCACATCCCCAGCCCTATATTGTTATTCTAAATAGCCCTGTTTTCAAAGATAGATTTATTTTCTTTTCTGTATGATTCTTCATTTCAATTCCTCCTGGTTTTATTTTCCTTCCCTATATTTCAAAGGAAGGACATAAAGATCAAGTGTCCTGCGTGGTACCATATGATGCTTTGGCTCCATGCATAGATCTATATCTGCTGCTGTAGAGTTGATATTGAGCTTTGGGGTTCAGACCAAAAACAACCCCAGATCTACTTATGCAGCACAGGGATTTCACAAATCTTGTCCCTTGTCTGTTGGCATGACCTTAACCTTTAGTTTAAAATATAATTTTGTCTTACCTCTTTTTTTCATGTTAAAATCAGAAATGTTAACTGAATGCATGGAATTTATAGAGGGACTATCTAGAAAAAAATACATATTAATCAAGGGTTGCTTGTATTAGATAGTTGAAGAATTAAATATTTACTTGTAAAAATATTGGGTTCTTGGGGGAAATAATCTAATTATGCTGACACTGTGTTCAGAGATGAAAATATGAGTTTACGAAAATTTGTGTGTAGTTTCATTTTCTCTTTCATCTCATGAAATTATGATCATAATGATATCGTTATATTTTCTTACAGTCGAATGCCCCATTTATTCACTAAGGATATAGCTCTTGTGCAGCAGCTTTTTGAAGCTCTATGTAAGGTAGGGAAACAGATGGTAAGTTTATACTTTCTGCTTAGATGCACACTTGGAAGTCAAAAGGGAGGGAAACACTATTTTTATCATCCTTACAGGAAGAGCCTGAGACACGGCTTGCCATACAAGAAGCATTATCTATGATGGTTGGGGCATATAGTTCTTTGGAAGGAGCACAGCGAACTCTGATGGAGGCACTTGTGGCTTCTTACTTAATAAAGGTAGGTCCAACTTTTGAATGACAATGGCTGGTAGCATACACAATTTACATTAAAAAAACTTGTTTTTAAGTGGATACAAAAATTATACATATTTATTTATGGGATATGTCACGTTTCAATACATGTATATATTGTGATATTCGAATCAGGGTAAGCATTTCTGTCTTTTCAAACATCTATCTCTTTTCTTTGTGGTAAAAAATGAAAAATCCTTTCTTTTAGCTTTTCTGAAATATACAGTAAGTTATCATGATCTATAATCACCCTGCTATGCAATAGAACACCAGAGCTTATTTCTTCTAACTGTAACTTAGCACCTGTAGACCAACCTTTCCCCATCCTCTATGTCCTCTACTTTGCCTGTCTGGTAACTGCTGCTTTACTTTCAACTTCTATGAGATCAGCTTTTTTAGATTTTACATATGAGCGAGATCATGTTGTATTTGAGAGAAAAGCAGAAGGAAAGAAAAACAAGATGCTTATGTCAAAAGTAGTCATCAGGAAGTAATCCAGTACCACCATCCATGTTCTTCCTTCTAGTCCTATTTTTTTCTGGCCAAAGTGGGAGTTCAAACCAGGTACAGTGCTGCATGCCTGTAATCCCAGTGGCTTGGGAAGCTGAGGCAAGAGGATGCGAGTTCAAAGCCAGCCTCAGGAAAAGTGAGGTGCTAAGCAACTCAGTGAGACCCTGTCTAAATGAAATACAAAATTGGGCTGCGGATGTGGCTCAGTGGCCGAATGCTCCTGAGTTCAATCCCTGGTACCCCACCTCCCCCTGCAACCAAAAAAAGTGGGAGTTCATAGGAGAATTTGGAGTATCTATAGCTTTACGTACACATAAGTATAATGTTAATACACAGTATAAAATTAAATATTATATATCTGCTTTAGTGAGTTCTTTGTCCTCCATTTGTACCAATAGAAAGGAGACATTGGAAAAGGGAATATTGCCAAAAATTATTGCTGAGATTAATATAAAATGCTTCCTACTGAATTGAGTTTGACATAATTTAACACTTTCTTGATGAGGGAATTCTGAAGATTCCAAAGGTATCTGTTTTCTGTTGAAACACGATAGGATTAAATTTTGCCCTTATGTATGTTCAGAAATCTTACCATATAGAGTACCACTGTCAAATACTTCTGGCGTCCAATTCACATGGTTCATGGTCATATATCACAGACAGTGATTTTTAGGCTTATGTGGAAACTTATTGGAGTAGAATCTTAAAACAAGTATACAAGTATACTTGTATCATGCTTGTAGATGATGGTTTGGTTCATGCAGATCAAATCATGTAGTGGTATTACTAAGCTCAAATTAATTTCTAAAGGCTGCATTTAAAGCATCCAAACTCTAGGCTAAATCATACAATTTAGACTAGTCTTTAATATTATTGATCTTAAGTGTAGCTCAAGAATCACTAAACTAGCAAGAATAGCAGAATGGATGGGAAGTATGTGTTGATTAATATCTACTTTATCTCACTTACCTTCGTGGCTACAGAAAGATCTTAGGGGATGATAAATGAGGGTAAAGCTTCAGGATCAGCAGGTGCTGAAACTGCTTTTCTGGTTGAACTTTATATTCATAAATTATTAATATAAGTTAATATATTCATGTAATTGAATCTTTGCTCTGGTGTCAGTGTTAAATTTAGAGCTAATTTGGAATGTTTCAGGTATTTGCTTCAAATTTTTAGGGATTCCCAGTAATTTCTGTTGATATTTTTTACAAAACACCTGAATTTCACTTGTGTGAGAGTTAGGGAGGTAGAGATATTGCCTGGAAACTGTCACAATGACCCTGGTTCCAAGATTTGGGCTGAATATGTGCAAGTACAGAGTAGATTCTCTAGTTATTGTTTTTGTGGATCTCTTCTGCATTACATGGCAGATGACATTATCTCCTAAAAGTACTCTTTAGGTAATGCTACTGTTCCAAAGACTTTTAAAAAACATAAAGATATTGAACAGGGTTGATAGGGGTTGTACTTAGTATGGGTGAGGCTCTGGCTTCATTCTGGGCAACCCCTGACCTCCTCACCCCCAAAAAGAGAGCTTGAACAAATAATTTGTTTTGATTTTATGTCTATTTAAATTTTGAATTGTTTATAATTAACATGATTTATCATAACTAGAATGAGATGCTGATAATTTAATTCTTTTGTTTTTTTTGGTTGGTGGGTGGGTGTCTCTGTGTTTTTATGTGTCCAATAGCCTGAAGTTCAAGTTCGACAAGTGGCTGTGAAATTTGCCAGCACAGTGTTTCCCTCAGATCATATACCTTCCAGATACTTGCTCCTACTAGCTGCAGGAGATCCGTAAGTTTCAAAAGGTGTTATTTCAATTTGTGTTCATTTTAAATGTATTTGAAAATTACCAAAATTTGTGTTGTTTAATATTTTGGCCTATGAAATTTAGAAACAATTTATTAAACAGTTAAAAGTATGGCCCTTGATATGACCTATAGTTATATATTGTGTATTTATAGATATTAAATTCTGTAATTGCTATGACCTGTAGTCATATACGTATATACTTACAATATTGAATTCTATAATTCAGTAAATAGAATTACACGTATAGATTATATGTATATCTGTATACTGTATATAGATTACATGTATATCTGTAATAAATGATAGATAACATAGAAAACACTTATAAAAATTGTCAGATTCAGATAAAGCAAATTAAACTATATATAATATATGTCTAAAATCAGGCCCTATAAAAAGAGAAAAAAGGGTTAATGCCAGCGATAGTTTGATATACATATTTTGATATATTGATGAAGTATTTTGTATCTAATATCCTAAAAGTTTTAAAATGAGGTATGTATACTGGGTTTTGTATTAATGAATTATAATGATTATATTTCTAGAGAATATGATATATTTTTCATTTGTTTAAATGTTTCTGAAATTGAGACCTGCCTTTAAAAACCATATGCATATAAAATAGGGTGTGTGTGTGTGTGTGTGTGTGTGTGTGTGTGTGTATATGTGTGTATGTGTGTATTAAAACAACTCTTTTTTTCTTTTCTTTTTTTTTTTTTTGGTACCAGAAATTGAACTCAGGGCACTTGACCCCTGAGCCAAAAAACAACTCTTTTCAAATCTATTATGTTTTTATTGTCTGTGACATTTTGAAATTCATGAAGCATTCCCAATATATTTTATAATACTAAACTATTATTACATGCAGTACTTAAAATTTTTGTGTCTTCAATGAGATTCTTGTAACGAAAAGCCATTTTTGCTGATGAGTGATTTTAAATAAAATTTTGCATCCTTTGATTATTTGAATACCCTTTCCAATAAAACGTTTATGTTCTATTTTTTAAAAATGGGAAATTCCTTGATAACAGTTTTCATTATTTGATTATTCTGGTTGGCTGAACAGAATATCTGGTATGTCCTTGATGCCCTTTCCCTATAAATTGCTCTGATTTTTTTTTTTTTTGTTTGATATTTTACCTATTATAGGAATTGACAGATTCTGACTTTGATTTCTGGGTGGCTGTTTCTCACTCATTTGCATTTAATTTGGCTAAAGTGGTTTAGGATTGTTAATCTTGGTTCTGGTGGTCTACTGTTTCTCACTTTGCTACTATAGTTTCCTAGCTAGAGGCCAGAGGGTTCCAGGGCCTGGGAACTGAGGTAGTAAGTAAATCATGTTAAAGTCACTATTTATATACAATGTTAACCTTATCTATAAGGGTTGAAAATAACTTTTATTTACAAAACCAAAGCATAAGTAATTCTACAGTTTTCTTTCTTTAGTTAAAATTGTTCCAATCAAATGAAAATCTTCTGGCAACTTGAGGCTTTATTTATTAAGTCTTTCTTTTTTTTTTTCCTTTGTAAGGTATTGTTAGGAAAACTACACTCAACTTAGAGTTGGTTATAGACTTAAAATGACCTTTCTGTGGTATCTGAATATAACTGTTGCTGAGGTCGTAGTCTAGTAGGGTGGTCTGAAATTAGTTGGGTTTTACATTTTTAAATATTGTCACTTATCATTTATCATTATACAGAATTATAGCTGGACTGCACAGAAGTGTAAAACTTATTGGAGCATAAAGAACATTGGACAATCACTGAATTTTAACATGTTGTCGTTTATGATTTACCTCTAATAAGGATAAAGCACACACATAGATGCTTACATAATGGATTGCAAAACCTATCTTATTTATTTCTGTGAGTTAAAAATCAAAGATACAAACCAGATGATTCTTCAAATTTCATGAAATTTCCAAAAACTTAACTTCTTACATTTTATTGTCTCTTTGTTTACATAGCCAAGAATATATTTAATACATTTGCTCAGAATTCTAGCTGCCAGATTAAATTCTTGTTTTCATTCTTCAAATGATTACTTTCTGGTTGATGCAATTTATTTTTATTCTTATTTGTCTTTTTGAAAGACGAGAAGAAGTTCATGGAGAAGCACAACGAGTATTAAGATGTCTTCCTGGTAGAAACAAAAAAGAAGGTGCTTCTAAGCAGATGCCTTCTTTCCCAGAAATGGTATATTATATCCAAGAAAAGGTATGGTGCTAAGATGCAGGTAATTAGCTTGAGACATGTAATGGATGAAAATTTAAAAAAAAGTTTTTTTTAAAGTGAAAAATGTAACCACCATGGTCAACTATAGTAGTTTTTAGCAGTATTAATATTTACAATGTAGGAGGGAGATACAAAGTGAGGAGAAAAATATAATTCTTAAATTTAATTGATCTGTTTTACCTAAAGAAAATGACTTTTAATTCCTTTCATGATTGTCAACATTTTTAACTATGTTTACATTTTTTCCCTTGATATGATATGCTTAAAAATATATTTCCTTTTTACTTTTATTTTTTGCAGTGCAGGGGATAAGTCCAAAGGCTTGTGCATGCTAGATAAATGCGCTATCACTGAACTGCACCCCCAGCCCCTCCTTTTTTTTTTTTAAAGAATTTTTTTAATATTTATTTTTTAGTTTTCGGTGGACACAACATCTTTATTTTATTTCTATGTGGTGCTGAGGATTGAACCCAGCGCCCTGCGCATGCTAGGTGAGCGCGTTAGCACTTAAGCCACATCCCCAGCTCCCCAGCCCCTCCTTTTAATTTCATTTATTGATTGAATGATAGTGGTGCTGGGAATTAAGCTACATCCCCAGCCCTTTTATTTTGAGATAGGATATTATTACTAAGTTGCCTAGACTGGCCTTGAACTTTTGTTCCTCCTGTTTTAGCCTCCTGTGTAGCTGTGATTATAGACATTCCTCACTGTGCCTGGTACTCTTTTTTATTTTTTAAAAATATTTTTGATATTTATTTTTTAGTTGTTGTTGGACACAATACCTTTGTTTTATTTATTTTTATGTGGTGCTGAGGATTGAACCCAGGGCCTTGAATGTGCTAGGCAAGCATTCTACCACTGAGCCACAACCCCAGCCCTCCTTTTTATTGTTAATAGCACTATTTAGGAATCCTCAGGAAGCAGTTCAGGTGTTTCTCACCACGATTATCCATCTGATTGTACAAATCTCTGCTTTTGCAGGGTGTTTTCTGCTGGTGGATCTGAGTATTGCCAGTAAGAATCCATACCCCTGACTATCCCACTTTTTATATCAGTGTTTCTTTCAGTATGTTGGAGGATACCTAACTGTTTTTTACCTTGACTGGTGGTCCTCACTTTTTGCTAGGTGGGCACCTTGAGGGAATTGGAGATCAGTATTATTCTGTTTTTCTTAACAGTCATATTTGTATCCTGAAGATGCCCTATGCTTCTGTTTTTCTCCTACATCCATCTTAATGAATGTAACTAGCATTCAGTGGCTTTGGGTGACTGTGTCAGTAGATATCTGGAGTAGGTTTATTTTTAGATATGCCAGTAAAATGTATGGGGAAAAGGCATCACATCTGCCATTTAGGGATGTGAGGTACATACACAGTCAGCTGGATTAATAGGAAAGGTTTTGACTCTGAAAAGTTGCAAACTTTGGACAGTAAAGTGGCTAGAAATGTTATTTTGAATTGAGGAAAGTCATATGTGCTCCATTCTTCCGTAATTGTTTGTTTTATGTTTATTTTTATTAGGCTTCCCATCGAATGAAAACTCCAGTCAAATACATGACCGGGACTACTGTCCTTCCATTTAATCCAGCAGCATTTGGAGAGGTAGGACTTTGATATACTTCTGTTTGGCTTCCTTTATAGATTCTAAAAGGTAGCTTCACTCCCAAAATGGTATCTGTGATATTGTAGCATTATTGTTCTTTATCAGGAAATTTATTTAAAACAAAACAAAACAAAAATCCTGAAAAAACATTATTAGGTAATTGGTATTGTTTTAATTTATGGTTATCTCAGGTTTATTTTATTTACTTTTGTTTTCTTTGATGCTGGGGATTGAAGCCTGGGCCTCGCACACGTCAGGCAGGTGCTCTACTACAAAGCCATGTCTCTAGCCCATCGGGAGATTATTTCTGTGAAAGAACTGGATGTTCTGCATTGCTTACTATTGGGCTGTGTGGCAAGTAAAATTTTGAGTTTTAAAGCTGAGATATTGTTGAGATTGTTAGGGTTTTCTAGGTTTAAAGGGTGAAGAGGATTAATTTATAATATCTATTAAGGGAAATTCTATGTTTCAGATTATTGATTTGTACTAATTAAATTATAAAAAGTAATCTTGTTTAGAGTCTAGTGAAAAGAGAGGTGGGAGTGTAGCTCAGAGGTAGAGCATATATTTTAGCATATCCAAAGCCCTGGGTTCAATCCCCAGAACCACCCCGCCCCCCCAACAAAAAAATTGAGTTTACTCCCTGCCCCCCATGGCTTCCTGGGATTGAACTTAGTGGCACTTGAACACTGAGCAACATCTACATCCCCAGCCACATTTTTGTATTTTATTTAGAGACAGGATCCACTGAGTTGCATAATAGCACCTTACTTTTGCTGAGGCTGGCTTTGAACTCATGATCCTCTTGCCTCATCCTTTGGAGATGCTGGGATTACAGGCATGCATTACTGAGCTCAGCTTACATTTTAATTCCATCAAAGAAATACCTCTTGAATTTGTAAAAGCTTGATATATAAATTTTATTCTATTATAGTAATTTAGTAAACATCAGTTATGTTTTTGGCTTCTATAAGGGTTGAGAAAGCTTTATGAAACAGGGTGGAGGATTCAAAACTGGAAATTGTCACTCTGAAGAATACTCTGTCACAGTGAAGTTTATCTGGATTCCTCTCTTTCTGGTTTTAGATAGTCCTGTACTTGCGCATGTGTTTGGCTCACAGTGCAGGGGTGGTGCCTACCTCTCAGAGTTTGGCTGATATGCAAGATCATGCTCCAGCCATTGGACGCTACATACGGACTTTAATGTCAAGCAGCCAGGTGACAGCCTCATCATCATCTAATAAAAGTGGAGAAACCAACCCCGTTCAGATCTACATTGGCCTGCTTCAGCAGCTGTTAGCAGGTGTTGGAGGTAGGCAGTGGTTATGCCAAAGAAAGATGTTAAAGCACTTAAGCAAAAATCCAATTTTAAACTAAGTTAAGAATTTATAGTAAAATTATGTAACAAGGCATTTGTCTGTGCTTTTATTCTAAACTTATCTGATTTATCCTTGATACAGTTTTCTTTTCAGAAAGAAATGCTAACAGTAGAGTTATGGGAGTTTATGTGAAGAGCAGGGCATCCCTTTTTGATAAATGGCTAACCTGTAAATTTGCTGCATTGAATCATGTACTACATTTAGATTATACATTTTTTTTTGTTTTTATAGACTGAGGGAATTTATATTTGAGCAATAACCTCACACTTCAGAGATATAAGGTGATCCTCCATATTCATTTCTTTTCTCAAACGTTAAAAGGGTTCTGAATTCTTCTATAGGTTTGCCGGTCATGTACTGTCTGTTGGAAGCTGTGTCAGTATATCCAGAAAAATTGGCTACCAAGTTTGTAGACAAAACAGAATGGATAAAGGTATGTCCTGTTCATTATACTCCTCTTTGAGTCTGGATATTTTAGACTTTTATCTCATGATTTCTTCTTCTTTCTACTAGTGTTATTCTGACCTTTTCTGCTTTTAGTTCATTTTGAAAATTACCCGTTATGAATCAATTAATAGAAAACATGTAGTAAGTATATCTCATCGACTAATCTGAGTGAGAATGGGAAATGAATTTGAGAGTCATATCAGTTAAAAAATAATTCTTTTTCTTTTTGAAAGGTTTTTTTTTTTGTCTTTTTAAATAAGGAATGGGTTTGTGTAGTTTAAATTAAAAATATATAACAGCCTACTTAAGAGCCCTCCGCCCCATTTCCTCTCTTGCCTCTGGTAGTCAGACATGGGACCTCACTTATTTTTGTATACATAATTTACTTATGCATTTACATACCCAAAATGTATTTTTATTTTTTTCCTTTATTTTACACAAAAGGTGGTATATTACTCAAATGGTTTTATGTCTTCCCTTAAAAGTAAAACTTGGAGCTGTTCCTCTATAACTGGAGAGAGCATCTCTTTATTTTAATAGCCTCATCATTTTTAATTGTATGATTTATTCTGAATCCTTACTGATGATGATTTAGAGTCCTTCATTCTGCTACCTTTATACCATTTTGCATATAAAGAAGTATGTTTTTTGGATTCTCCAGAGGTAGATTTGCTGGGTCAGAGGACACATGTTTTTGTAATTTTGATAGGTAATGCTACACCCTTAATGTGGGTGATAGCAATTTAGCTCCTTCCAGCCATATATTAGAGTGTTCTTATCCTATAATCATATCAAAAGGAATACCAGGTTTAGCAAATAAAAGTGTAAGAATGCTTAGTTAAATTTAAATTTCAGGCAAATAATGATAAGTTTTTAAAAAAGTACAAGTAAGCTTCATCTAGTTTAATATACCTTATGTGCTATGAAATGCATTTTGAAAAATATAGCTTGAATTTGGTAGAAATATATAGATTATATCTTTTAAGTGTGAAAATACGAATGTAGTGTGCCAAGAAATGTGAAATTTGCATTTCTCTGGAAAATTTGGTCTCATGAGACTGATTATAATTTAAAAAGGTTTTTTATTCTTTGTGAAGATTTTCTCGTTTCAAAAATGACCCTGTAGTTTTTGAGTTTTGATCTTTTAGATAAGGGATCATTGAACTATGGTCCATGGGTGATTATGGCCTGTCTCCTGTGTTTTTTTAATGGTCTGCAAGCTAAGAATGATTTTTATACTTTAAAGTTTGAAAAAAAGTCAAAGGACAAATAACATTTCATTATGAGTGAACTGTGTTGTCCATAAAGTTCCTATTTATTTGTTTTATGTGGCAGCTTTTGCATTGCAGTGACAGAATGGAGTACTTCCAACAGTGACCATGTGACCCACAAAGCCCATTTAGTCCTTTACAGAAAACATTTGCTGACTTCTGTTCTAGATATCTGTGTGTTTATTTACCTGTTTTGAACTTTTTTTAAAAAAATATATATTTATTTTCTATTTGTAATTGGACACAATATCTCCATTTTATTTTTATGTGGTACTGAGGATCGACCCAGGGTCCCACATGCAATAGGCGAGCGCTTTACCACTGAGCCACAATACTAGCCCATGTTTTGAACTTTTGTATCTTTGATGAAAATGTGCCTAAGGTTTTGGTATATGTTTAATTTTCATTTTGTTTTAAAATAATAGCTTATTATTATTTTCCTGAATACCATGAGATTGAACATTAAAATATATCATTTATTCTTTTTAGTTTAAATGTCTGATGTTGTCAGGAGGAAGATGATTATATATCATGTACCTATTTTTCTATACTTTTCAGAGTTTGATGAATAGCAGTAAAGAAGAAATGCGTGAATTGGCAGCATTGTTTTATTCTGTGGTTGTATCAACTGTATCGGGAAATGAGTTGAAATCAATGATAGAACAACTTATAAAGACTACAAAAGACAATCATGTATGTTTTCAGTTTTGTCTTCATTTTTTTATGACAGGTGGTAGGATTTTATTAAAGTATCTAACCTTCTTTTAGTTTCTATGTTCCCATCTGTAAAATAAACTTAAAAATTCCTTGTTTTTATGATTGTAAACGTTAAGTGAGATAATATATTGATACAGTCAGTTCAGTAAATAGATATGAGTGCTATGTCTGAAAAGCATGGTTTCAGTTGTCATGAAGACTGGTGGCTAAATACATGAGAATCCTTAGTGCTCCCTGGTACTCAGAAATATTAGCTCCTTTTTCTTCTACTTTTCCTGTCACTTACCACTGTGCTTATGAAAAAACAAATTGCTTTCAAAAAGTTTCTTTACTACCTTGTGCTTAGAGGTTTTAACAATTAGAAATAAGATCTGCTTATTGTGTTTTGTTGGTAATGGGGAGAAGTTATTCTTGAAAATTATGATATTGCAACTACACAAGTGGTGGAAGCCAGAAGAAAGCATGAATACTATAGAAGCATGTTAAGGCTGTCACTGTACCCAGAGTTGGAGTGTGTGTGAAATTAGTGTTATCTAAAACTTGAAGTGAATCAACACTCAGTTTAACTTCTCAGCATTCTCTGTTAGAAACTCAAGGTTTCTCTTGTTCCTTAGTTTGATTCATTGATAACTAGTGGATCCAAGTGATCATTTTACTTTTTGGTCATAAACAGTAGTTTTATCAGAGACACGATTGTAATAAATACAGTTATTTTAGTATATTCTTTCATGTGTGAGAAAGAGACAGACATATGCTATTGTGTTGTTAAATGTAGAGCCCTGAGATACAGCATGGATCCTTGCTTGCCTTGGGATTCACAGTGGGAAGATACTTGGCTAAAAAGAAGATGAGAATGGCAGAGCAGCAAGACCTGGAGACAAATGAGGATTTGCTGCCTGAGCAAGAGGAGCTCATTCAGAGCGCTACAGAAACAATAGGTCATTAACGTCTGTGCTGACTTGACTGTTGCTATTTTTGAATTAAGTTAAAAAAATTTTTTTTTTTAAGAGAGAGTGAGAGAGGAGAGAGAGAGAATTTTTTAATATTTATTTTTTAGTTCTCGGTGGACACAACATCTTTGTTGGTATGTGATGCTGAGGATCGAACCCGGGCCGCACGCATGCCAGGCGAGCGCGCTACCGCTTGAGCCACATCCCCAGCCCAAAGTTAAATTTTAATAAAGCTTTTTAATTTCTTTGTATAGTATTATAATTTAAAGGCACAGCTTCCCTACATATGACAGGGGTGGTTCTTTTATGGGAAAAAATTTAAACATTCAAAAAATTTGCTATACCCACTTACCATTACCAAGTAAATGTTTACAAATGATCAATTAGAAGATATTGTGGATTTTGCTATCTTTCAAAAAAAATCTTTAATACATTGCTGATTGTTTTGGATCACAAAGATAAGTACTAGACTATTTTCTGTTTTGTCAAATGTGCTTACAGGCTCGTTTTTGGATAGTACATCACCCCTCTTGGCAATTGCTGCCTGTACAGCTTTGGGTGAAATTGGCAGAAATGGTCCACTCCCAATCCGCAACGAGGGATCTGGCTTTACCAAATTACATCTTATAGAAAGTTTACTAAATAGAATTCCTTCCAGTAAAGAAACAAATAAGGCAAGTCTCTTTCTATTTTCCTTCCCTTCTGGAATTCTTCCATTTAAAGATAGCTAAGTGAATAAAATTAAATTATACTGAGATACATGGCATTGTAGCTGAGGGAAGGATTTGCTCAAAGAATGATAAAGTTAATGAAGAAAGTTTACTATATGCTTGTAAGTTAGAGGTGGTTTGTGTACGAGTGTAGTATGTGCATCACTTGACCCTCCCTGTTAGTCCATTTTAGGCCCTTAACTGTTAAAATTCAATAAAATATTAAATTCATATGGAAATCTTTGGCTATGTATGAGGTAGATAATAAAATGTTGTTAGTTTTATGATTTTGTACTTTTATAACAGATCTAAGTCTTTACCTTCTATAATTTGGTTTTAAGAAGCCTGGTCTTGGGGCTGGGGTTGTGGCTCAGTGGCCGAGCACTTGCCTAGCATGTGTGAGGCCCTGAGTTTGATTCTCAGCACCACATATAAACAAACAAATAAATAAATGTCCATCAATAACTAATAACAATATTAAAATAAAAAGAAGCCTGGTCATTAGTAAGCAGTGTGAATAATCTGAAGGAAGAGGACATTTGTAGGTTTTTAGGTTTGGGTAGAATTTTCATAGACTTATTTGTGATCAAAATACATCAGTTTTAAAGATGATTTTATGAGGAGAAAAATTAGTTTACAACAGGTTTAACAGTGATAATCTTACTTCTGGTCTAGCTTCTGTTTAAAACTTTCTGAGATAATACAATATAGTTTTTATTAGCTATTATTAACCAATCATTACCAGCTATTTTTGAGCCCTGTGATGTGCCAGGGAATGTGCGACACACTTACCATGCATTAAAACTGAATCCTCCAAAAAGTTCAGTGCAGTAGGCATAATAGTTCATGAGATAATATGAATGAGAGCCACAGAGAGGTCACATACCTACCTATAAAGGCTACTGAAAGAAATGGTTGAGATGTGATTTCGTCTGTGTCCCAGAACCCGTATTTCTAACCCTGATGGTTTAAAGGCCATCTTCCTCTAACAGAGCTATGGATCTACTATGGACTCAGTTTTATGTCTTTCTGCCTTTACTGTCTTACAGAGATAACTGTAAAATTGTATGCTTTTAGAAAAATGTAGGCATGGGTATGTTAGTTTGACAGACTGCTCTTCCTGTCATTTCATTTTGGAAACACTGTTCTGGGATAAAGCTGTTGTATACTTTGTCTAAAAGAAAAATTCTGTTTTCTTCCAGATGAAAGAACGAGCAATTCAAACATTGGGCTATTTTCCAGTTGGGGATGGGGATTTTCCTCATCAGAAACTCCTCTTGCAAGGTCTGATGGATTCCGTGGAGGTATTTATATTACTCTCTGATTATTAGTCAAACAAAAGGCATATTTTAGTTGAAATTTTGCATGCTATGAGATTTTGTCTGTGTGTGTGCGTGTGACTTTTAATTAAACTTTATTCATTTATTTACCTCACACTGACTTTTGGCTGCTAGCTTTAGGCTCATCACTTTGCAGGCATAGTTCTAACTAAATCATTTACATGGGAAAGGCCTTTCCTTATAATTTCTGAGTGAACAAGAGAGCATTAAAGGTAGAAGGGGAAACCTACTCAGTCAGCCAGCTAGCTGTGGGAAGTGGGTGCTCGTAATTCCAGTTTCTTTCAAGTGTGGTGATTTAGTTTCTGTCCATTAGATGCCCAGGGTAGTGGAATCTTTAAATAGTGAATACTATACATTGTGGTAAGCATCTGAACATTGTCTGATCTGGCCTCTGTGTAATCTAGCACTGGTTCTTGACATTCATTCACATTTTTGTATACTGGCCTCTTTGCTCTAATTTTTGAAAGTGCTGTATTCATTTTCCTTCTCAAGTTATTGCTATGCTCCTTGAAAAGCCTTTCCTGACCCTTCAAGCTAGAGTAGATTCTTTAGTTATTTGTGTGATCATGACTCCCATTCTTTTTCTTCATAGCATTCATTTATCACAGTTTTTAATTGTGTACTAGACTGAAGGAAGAGTCTGTTTTGTACTTTGTTATAACACAAGGACCTAGCCATGTGATAATATTGGTAGAACCTTATAGATAGTGGTAAAACAAGTAATTATGTGAACCACAAAGGAGAGTATAATTTTGTCAGGAGGATTGGGGAGGCTTTTTGGAAGGGGGGTTGTCCTGGCCCTTGGAGAATTTGAGGCAGGAGAGATCAGGCTTGAGTTTAGGGACTAAGGCAGCTGAATGTGAAAGCCAGTATTAAAATTCAGGCTTTTGGGTTGTTTTGTTTCCTGTACTGGGGATTGAACCTAGGGTATCTCTGAGGCACACCTCCAGCCTTTTTAATAGTTTTTATTTTGAGACAGGATCTCAATAATCTACCCAATCTGGACTTGAATTTGGGATCCTCTTGCATCAGCCTCCGGAGTAGCTGGGGTTACAGACTACTGCTGTGCCTGGCCCATACAGTATTTTTAAAGTGAATTTTATCTGTATCAGGTTCTTTCTGGATGCCAGAGACATTGTAGCCACTTGGAGAGAAACTGATGATGTCTGATTTTTCATCTTTTCCCCTATAAAATATGTTCTAGTTTTGTTTGAACAAATGAAAGCTTCTTTGGATGCCTTTCATTTGATGCCATTATTTTAAGAGTTTAGAAATACAAAATATATGAAAAACTAGAAGCGTGGGGAAATTTAAGAATGAACGAAAAAGCTTGAATCAGAGAAGCAGAATATCTTGATAATCAATCAGGATAAAGTTTGAAATTTTTTTTGTGTATTTTAACTTTTCATTGTGGAAGATTTTAAACAAAAGTAATATCATTATATAGTGAACTCCCACATGCTTGCTTTATTTTAATCTATTAACCCTCTATTTCTGGAATGTTCAAACTAAAGGCAGGATCTTGTATCATTCATAAATGTAGTTATGGGACTTTTTGTTTTCGATGCCAACTGTATCATTCACAATTGAAAATATGTAACAATAGCACATAAAATAGATCCCTAGTAAAGATCCTGTGTTGAAATACCTTTTCTTAGTTTGAAGTTGCCAAGAGAGGCTTTTGGCCAGCAAAGCTGCAGGGCAAAAGCCTTTAAATTCATTTCCCTTCAACTAGGAAGCTTGTGGTGTGTAACACTTGATGTCTCATCACTACTAGAACTTTTTGTTGATGAAGCCTAGGAATGGCTAGCCTAGGGATGTTGTTTGTATTCTTTGTGGAGTCACTATGCTCATGCCCCTCACAGGCTGTCTGTACTTCTTTCCCTTCTTATTTCTCTTTTTCTTAGACTTCTTCCAAGTCACAGTAAACAGAACAGTGCCAGAGGGAACCAAGACAGGTCCAACTCCATGTTGTATCAGTGATTCATACTTGTGAAGCATGTTAAAATTTCTAAATCAGATTTTTAAACAGTTGAATACATACTAGGAGAATTTTTAATGCTTTACATTTGAAGCAATTTCAGACTTAACACTGAAGTTATAAGAATAGTGTGAAGGACTTCTGTATATCTTTTATCTAGATTTGCTAAATTTGAACATTTTACACTTGGTTTATCATTTTTTTTGAATTATTTGATATTAAAAGTATGAAGAGTTAATAAGTTTAAATAATTACTAGTTAATTATAATAGCTACTATTTATTGTATAATTACTGTAGTCAGGCATACTGTATAAAAGAAACTTTATGTACAGTAACCTCATATAGTCCTTATGGCCTGATGAGGTAAGTAATAGTATTATGTTGAAGCTCGGGAAAATTTAGATAAAGGGTATGTAGCTGGTGAGATAACTATAAGTTGTATTGAAGTCAGTGTGGCTTCCAAGCCAGTGGACAGGACACCTTGTCCTCCTAGGTGAACTATATCCTGCATACAAAGATTAAAAAATCACTGCTTAGTCATTTTTTGCTGAAGGTGAGGAGTGTAGCATGGACCTGGAAAAAGGTCTTCAAGTCATTCTCCACCCCTCATTCTACCTTGCTTTATAATCACTGAGTTAAGCCTGGCAAAAGAGTGAAAACAAAGCATGCAGAGAAACAAAGGATTAAGCAGCTTTTTTTATAACAATAGATGCACATATTCTCTTTCATTCATGGCTTTTGCTTCCCTCTTTGCAGGCCAAGCAGATAGAACTTCAGTTCACTATTGGTGAAGCCATTACCAGTGCTGCAATAGGAACTAGTTCTGTGGCTGCCCGAGATGCCTGGCTAGTGACTGAAGAAGAATATATTCCTCCTTCTGGTACCAAATATTCAACTAATTGATTTATGTTTTCTGTATCACACTGGAACCAAATAAATTATGAACTCAGTTTCTTGTACTTATACATGCTGTACTAATGTCGTTCAATTAAGGAAAATAGTTGATAGAAGAAAAGTAAACATGAAATCAGTGAGAACTTCTAAAAGGCCTTTGGCAAACAGGACAGGGAGTTATCAGTGAATTCCTTCAAACTTCTGCTATTTTCGTTAGGATTAGTGTATTTAGCCAGTTTCAGAGTTTGAGATGTAGCAGTTTCCAAGTGATGTATCCCTTAAATTCTTTGTTACATAATAAAGCTTCAGTGTCTTGCTAGCCCTAAAGGTGCACTGACTCTTAGTGATTGCACATTAGGGGTGGGGGGCATTGTATGGTTTCTGACCATATATTATAGATTTAAGATTTAAAATATCTGTGGTTTGTCTTGAATTTGAAATTGAAAATCTATTTCAATATTTGAACCAGAATTTCTATTTTAATCCTTAAAACAAAGTGTTTAGATTTTATTTTCTTAGTTAGAAATTAAAATATAATGTTCTCATGGTAATTATTCTGTTGTGAATTAATATTGTGTTATGAGACATTAATTTAGGTATTGCACTTAACACACTGCATTACTTTGTTACCTATTATTGTATTAGCTACCATAAAGAAATTTAAGGGAAATAGAAAAACACTTTTAGCTTGCATTATAGTTAGGACAACTGTGGATTGACAGAAGCTGAATTAAAGGCATTTCTCTGAGGTTTATCTTTGAGTGCACATGAGATAAAGCAATGAGAAATTTGTAAAAGAGAAAGAAGTTACTCAAGGAAGCGACCATTGTTAACAAGGAGGTAATCAAATGTGAAGTGGAAATTCCTAGGTTGCATGTGAGAGGTGATATCAGAGGTCTGACAGAACTGAGGGTTCATACTGAACAGTGGCTTTGCCGTAAGAGGCATATTTTGTAAGTCCATGGATTTTCACATAGTGACTTAAGGAAAAGAATAATAGAGAGGTTTCTATGTTGATTTTTATACTTTTGAACTTCCATATGTTGTCTCAAACTTTTTGGAAGATTGGATCCTGCTTGGCTTTCTATTCATGCAGAAGAATCTCAAATTGTTCACTAAATCCACATTTAGTTCCCTTGTCTTTATGTTTTCAGGGAAAGGAAAATATAACATATTGTGGAGAAGTGGTGCCTATGAATCTGTTACCCTGAAATTTGGTCATGAATATTCTGTTATTCTCAGCTGAATGCTACTTGCCCCAATATCTGTATTGTTTGTTACAGTCAGTAATCTTGCTGTGAATGGAAAGAAGAGCATTTGAGAAGCAAGTTAGGGCCTAGTCCTTGGCATGCTGTGGGACTCTAGTACGGGCTGCTTACTTGGTGATTGTAGTGCCCAGATAGAACTATAGTAGCTGGCTACATTGTAGTTATGGGAAAGTAAAAGAAGGGATTTCATATGACTTTCAGAACTAGTTTAATGTGGTCAGTGAGAGACCCTGAAATGGGGTGAGAAGTTGCAGGTAAGTAAGGGAATCAGTTGTCTCTATACTGCTGACAGGTCAATTAAGATGAAAATGGAAAAAAAAAAAGATAAAAATTGAAAAGTGATTATTGGACTTAGCAAGCAGCAGGAAGATAATTGGTGACTTTTATGAGTAATTTCTTTGGCAAAGAAAAGGTAAATGGCTGATTTGGAGTAGGTTTAATAATTAAGAGGAAGGAAAAGTTTGATCATGAGTATGGAACTGTTTTGAATGTGTTTTTTCTTTTTTAAAATTTGTTCTAATTGGTTATATGTGATAATGGAATGTATTTTGGTTTATTGTACACAAATGGAGCATAGCTTTTCATTTCTCTGGTGGTATATGATGTAGAGTTACACCATATATGCGGTCATGCATGTATCTGGGGTGATGTTGAACGGTTTGATGTAAAGCAGTGATTTCTTAACAGGAGGAGTGAGATTTTGCTAATGTCTGGGTACTGGGGAAGATGGGTGCTACTAATCTCTAATGGGTAGAGGCAAGGTATCCTACAGTGCACAGGACAGATCTCCACAACAAAGAATTACCCAGCCAGAAATGTTAGCAGTGTTGATGTTGAGAAGCCCAGAAGTAGTGAAGGAAAAGAGATAAATGCATGGTAGCTGGAGAAGTAAAGTGAAGTCAAAAGAGTTTCGCTTATTTGTTTTTAAATGGAAGTTAAGAAAGATCTAGTAGAAAAGTAAAATTTCTGAGACTGGAGAGGGTGGGATAATTTTTCATTCTAGGGAATTAAAGTTATCTGAATTTCTTTGAAAGGGTATTTAAGCTTATCTTAGGTTTTAAAGTGAATAATTATTGATTTCTTCAGAAATTACACTTTCAGTCATTTGAATTTTAATTGATTATGAAATTATTATATTGAGTAATTATTGGTTTCAATTGAATTTTCTCAGGAAAATATATTTAGTTTTTTTAATCATTAACTTTCTTTGTTTTTCCTTAGGCGCCAAAGTGAATGACGTAGTCCCCTGGGTGTTGGATGTGATTTTAAATAAACACATCATCAGCCCCAACCCACATGTGAGGCAAGCAGCCTGTATCTGGCTCCTTTCCCTTGTGAGGAAGCTTAGTACCCATAAGGAAGTGAAGGTAAGCCTTGCCTCCAGCTCTGTTGGAAACCACAGTATTTAAGAATGAAAGGTCAGAAGGAAAGTGTATGAAGGTGAGGGTAATAGCAGGGATTTTTAAAATAAGCTGTGCATTAAGGAAGGATGGTGGTTGGTAGATACTGATTGGAAGATGATACTTGAAGGTATAAGGTCAGAAGTACTAAGGATGGGAGAGGCTCAGTATTAGACTACCTGTGAGTGACACAACTTTAGGTAATTTGTACATCTATGAAGATGAGGGTGCACCAGGGTTTGTGACTACCTTGATCGTCAGGGTTCTTGTATTCTTAAGACCAAGTTTTTAACTCTCCCAAAGAGGTAGAGTTACAGTGTTCTAATGCCTTTTTTCTTCTTTCAGTCTCATCTTAAAGAAATTCAGAGTGCATTTGTTTCAGTTCTGTCAGAAAATGATGGTAGGTTGTCAGTAAATATTTTATTTTTAAACTTCATTAAACTTGTATTTTATATTTCAAAAAGTTTGGATTAATGAACATAAAAGAACTTTTTGAACTATTTTATATAGCTCAAAAACAAAATAAAATTAAATTTAGTTTTAAGGGTAATAATTATATTTATGACTAAGAAAAAAACCCTGAATTTCTGATTAGGGTACAGGAAATTAAAATCCTTATTTCATTTTTAAAAATCACTTACTTCACTTAGCATGATATTCTCCAGCTTCATCTATTTACCTGCAAATGCCATAATTTTATTCTCTTTTAATGCTGAGTAATATTCTATTTTGAATTCAAGATAATGCAACTTTTAAACATGTTTTTAGAACATGTTCTTCAGCTTTGTACTTAAAAATGGAGCTGTGGCCTTCTTTAATATTAGTACCTGTACTAAGTATTTTCTTCTATTTCTTATTACCTTTCCTCTCTGATTGAGGCTAGGAGAGGTAATGCATTATGCAAATAAATAGTTGATTTGTTTTATAACTTTTAAAATCATACAATCTTGTATTGACCTTTCAGTTTAAAAATTGAATGTAGGTATTCTGTGAGGCTTTTTAAAATCTCTTTTGTGTACAACTTACAATGATATTTTGATACTATGTACCCTGTGGTAATAGGTCTATCTATACTGTCTTGATTTGTGAGTTGGATTTTCTGTGATGTAATTCTCATTACAGTGACTCATGTGCCATGTCCACTGAGATTTTCAGTATTATAGGCTGATTGATTCTGTGTTTATTTTTTTTTTTAATTAAAAACTTTGACCCACTCCCTTGTCTTTTTTTTTTTTTTTTTTTTTTTGTGGTGCTCTCTCACTGAACTACATCCTCAGGCCCTTTTTTAAAAATTTTTTTTTAATATTTATTTTTTTTAAAATTTTCGGTGAACACAACATCTTTGTTTGTATGTGGTGCTGAGGATCAAACCTGGGCCGCTCGCATGCCAGGCGAGCGCACTACCCCTTGAGCCACATCCCCAGCCCTCCTCAGGCCCTTCCTATCTTATCTTTATTTTTGGATTTTTTAGTTTTTGTTCTGGGGATTGAACCTAGAGGTATTTTACCACTGAACTACATCTCCAGTTCTATTTATTTATAGTTAGACACAATACCTGTATGTGGTGCTGAGGACCAAACCCAGGGCCCTGCACATGCTAGGGAGGTGCTCTACTGCTGAGCACTCCAGCCCATCCCCAGTTTTTTTTTGTTTTTCATTTTCAGATGGAGTCTTTCTTAGTTGCCTATGCTGGTCTCAAACTTGCCATCTTCCTGCATTAGCCTCCCGAATAGCTGGGATTACTGGCATTTGTGCTCGATACCATTTTTTTAAAAAAATTGGAAGCATTTTATTCTCTTCTTATTAGATGCTTTACTTCAAAAGGGCAACTTTTTAAAAAAGTTTTTTATTTGTTCCACATGACAGCAGAATGCATTTTGTTTCATTGTACATAGATGGAACACAATTTTTCAACTCTTGAGTTGTACACTATATAGAGTCACACCATTTGTGCAATCATACATATACCTAGGGTATTGATGTCCTTCTCATTCCACCATCTTTCCTACCCACATGCCAGCTGCCCTCTACTCCCTCCCTTTGCCCAATCCAAAGTTCCTTCATTCTTCCCATGCCCCCTCGCCGCATTTTGGATCAACATTCACTTATCAGAGAGAACATTTGGCTTTTTGGTTTTTTGGGGATTGGCTTACTTCACTTATCGTGATATTCTCCAACTTCATCTGTTTACCTGCAAATGTCATATTTTATTCTCTTTTAATGCTGAATAGTATTCTATTTTAAATTCAAGTAGTCAGAATTTTTAAGAATATTATAAATTTTATTCTTTTTTTTTTTGTTTTGGTAGAACTTAGCCAAGATGTTGCCTCCAAAGGCCTTGGGTTGGTTTATGAACTAGGCAGTGAACAAGATCAACAGGAATTGGTGTCTTTGCTTGTTGAAACACTTATGACTGGCAAAAGGTATGGTGAGCTTGAACATTTCACATTTGAACATAGCAAGTGTGTGTACTTACAGAGAGAATATGCTATGAAATAAAAATTATCTCATTATACACTGTTTACTTTAGAAATATGCCAGTTAGTCAGACTTTGAAGTTTGAATTGTCCCAGCACAATTAAAGCATTGGATTAGAAAAATTCTGTAATTACTGATGGCTAAATGAAAATTAAGATGTGAAGAAGTGTGTACATCATTTGTAGTCTGATCCGTGAGGTATATAGGAGGAAGTCAGTCTTACTATTGGTTGTCCTTTATGTTGCTTTTCTTGTGGCAAAGTTGCTTTTAAATGTGTGACCACGTTTAATTCAGTGTAACTTTGTATGGGCTGTCACTTACATATGTTAATTTGTTCATTTTAAATTTGGTTTTACAATATCCTCAGCTTAATGGAAAAGAGTAGTTGACTTTTACATCTTGAGTATAGTAGGCACTTGATAGGAAGTTCAATTTTACCAGTTTGCAAATGAAACATGTCTTTAGTTGAATGCTGGTATGGAAAGTTTGAGACTGATTTAAATTCTTATTTTGGTGTAGAGCTAAACATGAAGTTTCTGGAGAGACGGTTGTGTTTCAAGGGGGAACCCTTGGCAAAACACCGGATGGGTAAGTATGACATATCCATTGATGATTTAGTGTAGAATTAATTTTTTTCCTTCTTCCCTCCTCCCTCCCTTCCCTTTCCTTCCCTTTTTTCCCTTCCATCCCTTTCTTTCCAGTTTGGTAAGCCTAGCAGTGAGGAAGCTTCTATCCTCTTACAGAAATGTTGTTTGTTGGTGGAAAAAAGAAAATTTGTAAGGGAAAGCCTACTCTTTTATATTAGATTTGCTGGCAATAGACTCTGAGATGGAGATTTGTATGCTGCAGGTTAATTGGGGCATTCCTTAGTGGGAACAAGCAAGCAGGATAAGGCCAACAGCAGTGGAAAGGTCTGAATTGTTTTCATTACCGCAGTGGATACTGAAAGTCAGAGGAGCTTTCTGCTGGAATGGGATGGCCCTTCATTTTTCCTGCTTTGAGACACAAAGCCTACATCCTTATGTTCCCTCTTTAGGCCTTTATACTTCTTCAGTGACTAGCTATTGATGGTGGGTTGCTCAATGGGAGACCTTGACCCGGAGCTCTGAGGGCAGTTTGGGAGACTGACTAAGCCAAGTGCTTTCAGCTCTCAGGTAGTTCAGTCCTGAGTGAGGACATGGCAGCATAGCTTGGCTTCTAGTACACCTTTAGTGGGGCAACCTGATATTTTAGAGTTCATCAGTTTAGCATTTCAATTAATTTCTTGAGCTTTACCTTTTTATTTTATCACTATTCCACCGTGATTATATTTTTACTTTTGCTCTAAGAATTGTTGGGTAAATGGGTGTAACTTGTCAGTTTGCCTTGCTGTGGTCTCTTTGACAGGCAAAAGCTGCAGGCTGTTAATTCTGTCCTATGTTCTCCTGTAGCTCACCGTTTTCACATCAAAAATTGTGATTTTTATAGTGCTAAAGATTGAACGCAGGGCCTTGCAATTACTAGGCAAGTGCTCTACCACTGAGCTATATCCTGAGCTCCCAAAGTTGTTCTTATTCTACTTGCTCTCCAGATAGACCTCTTCTGAGTTCTTTAAAAAATTGCTCACTTTTCACAAGATAACACAAAATGATCAGCTATTTGAGCAAATATTATTGGCTTAGAGGAAAGACTCCACAAAGAATCAGGATTAGAGTGGTCTAACTTTAAAAAGACTTATGGGAAACAAATATCTTTAAATGATGTATGATTATAAGAGAGATTTATGTACCATATAATGAGGAGTTATTGAGTTGCCCCCTAAGGCGGTTAGAGCTCCACCTGGGAGTTGTGGATACATTTAGGTTATTTACCAGCAGCAATATAGAGGGGCTTAGGAATTGTTGATAATTGAAGTAGGTGACTTTTTGTATTCTCAACCAACTTTTTTTTTCCATGGTGATGAGATAATTCAGTATGAGAAATTGAGTGGAAGTGTAATTTTAATGTACCCTAGTAATTATTGATGTAGTTTATATTAGACCAGAGGTAGAGAAATGTATTATTGAATACTTCCTTTGGTTTGTTTGTTTCTAAGCCAGGGCCTTTCTACTTACAAGGAGCTTTGTTCTCTGGCAAGTGATCTTAGTCAGCCAGATCTGGTGTATAAATTTATGAATCTGGCCAACCATCATGCAATGTGGAACTCAAGGAAGGTAAGTTGCTATCACTGGGCAGTTTTTCTTTTTTACTTCTAAAACCAAGCATGTTATGTTGGCAGGCAGTAGCAGTTGATTGACTTTGTAAAATCTGTGTCTGAGAGCCTTACTACCACATGGCTACTATTACTGATTGGTAAGGAAGACCCAATAAATCAGGCTCTCTTTAAGATTAAGTTTGGGAGGGAGATTTTATTATTCCCATATATTTAATGCTAATAATTGCAATAGGTATGTCTGAGCCACTTTATCTTATTACTTTTAGGGTGCTGCTTTTGGTTTTAATGTAATTGCTACAAGAGCCGGAGAACAGCTGGCTCCTTTTCTGCCTCAACTAGTTCCTCGTCTTTATCGTTATCAGTTTGATCCCAACCTTGGCATTCGACAGGCCATGACAAGTATTTGGAATGCATTGGTCACTGATAAATCAATGGCAAGTATTTGTGAACTCTCATGTGTTAGGAAAATGCTGTAGCTTGTCTGAGGTCCCAAAGTACCCATATTTCTTTCTACTTTCTACCTAACTACTTATTTGTTTTAATAAATAAGCTTTCTTTCAATTATTGCTTTCTTCCTTCTTTCACAATATCAAAGGTGCTTACAACAGCAGTTATTAAAATCTCAAAAATAGAAGAAACCTAAGTGTCTGCTGGAGGATGGTTAAGGAAATGGTAGTGTATTCAAACAAATGGAATATTGTATGTTGATGCTGTGGAGAATGAGTTATAGTGTGACCTTCAAGGAGTTCCCTTTCCTGGGGAGACAGACAGGGAAACAAGCAATTACCATGTATTGTTTTTCTCTCATGATTTTTTATCAACTGGTTGTTTGTACAATTAGATATTAGAATTTCTCAGGATATGTCTGAGTACCATCTCTTATTTTCTCAGCTTTCTCTGTACCATTCCATGGCTTATCAAAGTTATCTTAATTGTGATGGTTTCCAGTCCTGTACTGGCCCAGATGTGGCCTGTGCTCCAGATATGTGTTTCTGATTGCCTGCTTGAGACCTTCACTTGGCTCTTGTTTCAATATCATTAACTTATCCAGAACAGGACTGAAAAAAAAATATAACCACCTTCTTATATTCTCCTCACTGTTTATATACTTATCCAAACCAGGAAACTTGGTATCATTCTTGATTTTTGTCTGTATCTTACCCCTACTTCCCAAATGAATTCAGTAGCAATTTCTGTTGATGATGCTTTCAAAGTCTTCCTTGACTCCACTCTTCTTCTTTCCCTAATTCTATCCTGATGACTAGGTCACCATTATCCTCCTCTTTTTCTTTACCTTCCTTTTTTAATGATCAGCTTAGTAGCAGATTAGTAGTAGATTTTTTAAAAAAGGCAGATTGCATCATGGCTTTGCAATTCACTTTGTATAAATACCACGATCCCTACAATGCTTTATATAAGTGCCTGCACATGATGTGGCCCTTTCCTCTTCCATCTGATACTAGGTTGAATGTATTCCTGTTCATAGCGGAAGGTACTTGAGGGTACAGCTTTGAAGGCTCAGTGAGTTTTATTTGCTCTAAGAGAGTATGTGGTACCTCTGGGTCAGCCAAAACCTAATAGGCCAGGGGCCTTGTAGGTCTGAATTCAGGCCATAGGCCTAGGATCTTGAGAGGTGATCATCATTTCTGAGTGGGTGAAAGGTGAAGCTTCAATTGTGATGAGATTACCTATGTTAGATAGAGGAGGGGACATAGGAAGCTATCATTTGTTCAATGTTAATGAGTTATTTATCTCTCTTGTTTTCTGATGTATAAGTGAGCATAACATAACTCTTCTACCTACAAGATTAAAAGTGGAAAAGCTACAAGTTATAGGAGTCTTTGGATTTATTGGCATAAACCCCGACTCTACTGTCAATTTGTCATTATTACAAAGTTGTTAAATGTATATCAGAACAGAGGCTTAAAATATGAAATTCATCTTTCATCATGAACGATCACAGTACTTCTTCATGAAACAGATGCTATGCAAGGTACTGGAGATACAGAGATGAGATATCATCCCTGCTCTTGAGGTCCTCGGTGTAGTGGACTGGATGGTCTGATATGATGCATTTTAAGAAGTTGTCATGGGTTCACAGAGGAGAGTCCTTAGGACAGTCTTTTCTGATTGGTGGCTAATTGGAGTTTGAGGGATGAATAGGAGTTTATAGGTAAAGGAAGTATGTGCCAAGGAATGGAGATAAGAGAGAACAGATACTTTTGAAGCTAAATGAGTCACAGAAGCTTTGTAAGCATGCCCAGGTGATTGGACTTTCAGCTTTGCATTTCAGAATGATCACTCTGATAGCTTACAGCAACCAAAGTGGGGAGAGATGTGTAGGCCGAGATGCCTGGGGAGACATGTAGGCTGTTTAATACAGAAAATGTGCCAGTATGGTTGAGAAGTGAATAATTTGATTGTTGATGGATTTTATATTTTTAACATTATCTTTTTGCATTCATTAGGTGGATAAGTATTTGAAGGAAATTCTTCAAGATTTGGTTAAGAATCTTACTAGCAATATGTGGCGAGTTCGAGAATCCAGGTATCATTTTTGAAATATAAGAATAGTCAAATACAAATGAAATTTTTTTCCTTTTAATTTCCAAGTTTTTTACTTTGTGAAGAAGGAATAAAATAAAACTACTTGAAAGCTTATTTCTGGTTTGCTTATGTAGTTACTTTTCTTTAGTTTATTTTAAATTCTTATCAATAGTTTTCCTATGTTAGTTTATATAAATATTAAATTAAAGAATGGATTGGGGATTTAGCTCAATGGCAGTGTGCTTGCCTAGCATGCACAAGACCTTGTGTTTGGTCCTTGGCCCTGGGGGGAAAAAAGAAGAAATTAAAGATATACTTTGATATACTTTGATGACTTTGTATGGTAGCATGTATTTATCTATGCATTTTATATTCATTCAGTATTTGCTATGTGCTTGACAACGTATTAGGTGCTGAGGGCACAATGGTGAGTAAAACATGGCATATTGTATCAAAGGCAGTGTCTTATAGTTGTGGGAAACAAATGTTTGATGATTGTAAAGGCCAAATATATGTGATATATTTGAGGTACTAAGAAAGGATAGTTATGATCTGGAATCTATATGAATGTTTCATAGTAACATATTGAGTTTTCTTGATCAAATTAATTTTTTTTTAGTTGTTGATGGACCTTTGTTTTATTCCTTTATTTATATGTGGTGCTGAGAATCAAACACAGTGCCTCACACATGTGAGACAAGCACTCTACCACTGAGCCAAAACACCAGCCCTTTTGATCAAATTTGCAATCAATTTTTTTGTTTTTGTTCTTGTTTTCAGCTGTTTAGCTTTGAATGATTTATTGAGAGGAAGACCCCTAGATGACATCATTGATAAACTTCCAGAAATTTGGGAAACACTTTTTAGAGTACAAGATGATATCAAGGTATTATAGAAATAAATCTGCATTTATTTGTTGAATAGCTTAATATGGAATTGTAAAAATATGTTATATATTTTGAAATTCTATATCCAGTTTTTAAAAAAACCCCACAGTTTCTTATCATAATTTTAGCCTTCATTTGTCTCTGAAGTTGTAAGGGTGATATCTTTAGATCTAAATTGAATTGACTTACAAAAAGAAAAATGGTGACTAACTTTTTCAATAGAGATCGATCATGCTTTTATATTAGGGACAAATAATTGTTTTGAAATAATTCATAATAATTCTACTTTGGTCAGTTTCGTAAATTGGGTTAGTCATTCCCAAATAAAGTGATTAATGAAAAGTTTCTCTGAATTTTTCTTGGGCATCTTAGTCACCTTCATATCACTATAACAAATGCCCAAAATAATTTACAAATAGAAGAGGTTTTCCAATTTGTGATTGATGAGCCCCATTGTTTTGAGTCTGTGCTGAGGCAGCACATAGGAACAGTAGTATGTGGTAAAGTAAAACTATTCACTTCGTAGCAAGGAAGCAAAGAGAAGGATCAAGAGACCAAAGTCTTACAGTCTCCTTCAAGGGCATACCCCTTATGACCAAAGGACCTCTGATTAGGCCCCACCTCTCCAAGGTTTTACCATCTCCTAATAGTACCATCTAGGGACCATGTCTTTGATAAATAGACCTTTGGGGATCACTCAGTATCCAGACTATAGCATTGGGCTAATCTAAATTTTGGATACTTTGATATATTTAGGCACTTCAGGCTTGTCTTTTTGCCTTATTCATTAGAAATTTTTTAATCTTTTAGAATCCTCACAAAGATCTTTATGTATTTATTTTTATGATACATTTAATTTCTGAATTGTTAGACTTAGTGACTAATTTTTTTGTAAGGTCAAAATAGGTCATACCCAATTTTTAAAAATAGTAATATGGCATATGTTCCTTGTTGAGTATAGTAGAATTGAGTGTGTGTGTGTGTGTGTGTGTGTGTGTGTGTGTTTATGAGATGTATGTATATTTTAATGATATTGAAAGTAGAGACTTTTTACTAATCTCTGTAGGGTTTGAGGCAGTTAATTGTTTATTGTAGGGTAGTTAAGAATGAATTCTCTAAGTTGTCTGATGCCAACTTTTCCTTTTTTTAGGAGTCTGTACGAAAAGCAGCTGAATTAGCTCTGAAAACTCTGAGCAAGGTGAGAGCTCTCATATCCCTGTGGGGATGGAATAGGGCAGGGTTTTGTATGACTTTGACAATACTTTATTTTTTGTCACATGAGATCTCATTTAGTTGCTGGGTAATTGGCTTTACTTTTTAGTTCACTGTTTTTATAATGGATGAGAAAGCAATACATAAGAGTACTAATATCTTAAACAACATCCCTTTGATCTCTAAATGGTGAGCATCTGTAGGCCTTTACATAAGGTGTGACTTGCACCCTGAAGAACACATTGTTGTCTTAGATCAAGCAACATCTGTCTTTTATCATCTTTCGTATTTATGATATTTGAAAGCTTTTTGAAACTAAATAGTCTGCCACTTGAAATTGATTTTGTGATTTATCAGGGACTTTTACATCAAATTGCATAAACTTTGCAGTGGTAAAACTGGATCTTAAATCCAGGTGTTTCACATTTCAGATTTGTGCTCCTTATTGGCATATTATCCTATCACTGAAAATTGTTAATTCGATGGTGATGATGATACTTTAAACCTTCTTTGAAGTGTTTTTTAAATTCATTTTCTCATTTTATTTTCAACTCTTTTGTTCCCCATTTCACATATTTAGAGAGTAAAATGGCTTGCTAAATTTTCTGACTTAGTTATTGGACCTAAGACTCAATACCAATACTCATTCCTCTGTCTCTCCATATAATGTGAGAGTGTAGACTTATTTATTCTTTTACTAAGAGTGAAATAAAAGTCATTTTGTCATATGAATGCTTTATTGGCTTAGAGGTCAGTTTCACTAATGTCCGTACTCTTTGTATGTGAGGTTTGTGTGAAAATGTGTGACCCTGCCAAAGGAGCAGCTGGCCAGAGAACCATTGCTGTCCTTCTGCCTTGCCTTCTGGACAAAGGAATGATGAGTCCTGTGACAGAAGTTCGAGCCCTGAGGTATGGATCAATAGAATAAGTGAATGAATTGATTCCTTACTTATTTCCTAGCCATTCAGTAGGAATTGTTTCTGTGAATGTCTTGAAAATATAAAGAAATAGATTGAGAAGAATCTATTGAGGTAACTCAAACATTTAAGAAAAATTGTGAGTCATATATTTTCAGGGTAACATTCTCAGGGGACCTTGTTTTTGGCTTGCATTCTAAGTTGTGTTATTTTGTTGTTGCTGGCCCCAGCCAGTACACATTTTCTAAATATTCAGGTCCTCAAGAGCTTGCCAGTTGGTTATAACACTTAGTAATGCTACTATTTTTCTGTTCTCAGTAAAATAATCTTTACAGTGATCATTAGTGGCTTCTGTATCCACTAGGTGGAAGGCTAATAGGGAATTTTGTGATGGTTAAAGCTAATCAAACCTGAATCCACTGATCACTGTTAAAACCATAAAAAGACATTATGTGCATCCCACAAAATTTGATAGGTAGGCCACTTAACAATGCATCCTATGAAAGATTACTATAGTCGTCCCCCCTCCCCCAAATAATTGAACCTGAACTCAATTTAACCTGTAGATCTGTACAGAGAAACATGTTAAATGATACAAATGGAATATAATTAGTGAGGACAAATTAAGAAAAGGAGGAAGGAGGGAATTCTTCAAAAAGATTGAAGGAATGCAGTCAATTATAATGGATGAATTCTGGATTCCTATTTCAACAAATCAACTTTTAAATATATTTGTGAAATAATCAGGGAAATTTGAATGTGAGATGATAAGAAAAAGTTGTTTACACACACACACTTCTTCTGGTACTAGGGATTGGACCCTGGGCCTCATACATATTAGACAAGCATTCTACTACTGAGCTACATCCTCATCCAGTTATTAATATATTTTTAAAATATTTATTTATTTATTTATTTTAGTTTTCAGTGGACACAAATCTGTATTTTATTTGTATGTGGTGCTGAGGATCGAACCCAGGCGAGCGCGCTACCGATTGAGCCACACCCCCAGCCCAGTTATTAATATTTTGAAAGTGTGAAAATGGCATTATGATTATGGTAAAAAGTCTTGATTATTAGAGATACATACTGAAGTTTAATTATAGGATATGCTTTGAAATAATACAGTGGCTGGAGAAAAATGGTGCCTGAATATGTGGAAGAGTTATAAATGAAACAGAATTGGCCAATTATTGCTAACTGTTGGACAAGGGAGGAATACAAGGAATTTCATTTATGATTCTCTTTCTTTTCATATGTATTTGAAAGTTTCTGTAATAAGAAATTAAAAAGAAAGTGCCAAGGGATGAAGGTCCTGGGTTCAATCCCCAGCACCCTCCCTACTGCCAAAATAAAAAAAATAATTGCCAGGACCATGCTCTGTAACCATGTAAGTATATGCCTAAATGCAGTGAACTGCAGAACATCCTCATGATTAGATCTGTAGGGTTATTACTTTTGGTAAAATTACTCAGGAGTTGTATTCTGTGTGTCTTACAGCATTAACACCCTTGTGAAGATCAGCAAAAGTGCAGGAGCCATGTTGAAACCACATGCACCCAAACTCATCCCTGCTCTGCTGGAATCCTTAAGTGTATTGGAGCCCCAAGTTCTCAATTATTTGAGCCTTCGGGCTACAGACCAAGAAAAGGTGAGTTTGTTGCACAAGTCTATTGGTAAGTATTATGAAGGAAAAGCCCTATTAAGGTACTGAGGGTCTCAGTAATACTTCCAGTGTCTTTAGATAGACTTCATGACTTCATGATATTTTCATCACATTGCCACTCAGTTCCTGTGACCATATGCACATGCAGTGTTTTATTATTTTCTTGAGGGGATGGCGAATCTGGCTCATGTACATTATGTATCTAATAAAAACTGACACCTTCTTCTTAAAAAATGCATTAATATAAATTTAATACAGTTTTTTTTTTTTTTTTGGCATGCTTGTTATTTTATGTGTTGGGTTTCTACCTTCAGAGTTCTTCTATGGACCATCCCCTGTGCTACAAGTGAAGAAAGACTTTGTTGTAGTTGAAGATTGTTCTGTTGTTCATATATGCTGGGATTGCCTTACCTTTGATCAGAGTCATTTGTTAAAATTGTAGATTAAACATATTCTGTGGAGCAAAATTAAAACAACACATAAGCCTAGCAAGTAATCCCCTAGGAGTCTCCACTATTAAGTGTTTCCTGTGCCTTTTTTCAAATTCTTTATTTTATTTAAAAACTTTTTGTTTTTTATTTATGCATTATAGTTATATAGTGGTATTCATTGTGCCATATTCATACATGCACATAATATAACTGTTTTAAAATATTTTTTAGTTGCTGCTATACTTTTATTTATTTAATTTAATTTATTTATATGCAATGCTGAGAAATGAACCTAGTCCCTCACACATGCCAGGCAAGTGTGCTACCGCTGAGCCCCAGCCCCAGCCCCCATAATATAATTTGATCAATCTCTTTCAAATTCTTTTTTGTCATGGGCAACCAAACCACAGATAATTTAAAGATTATCATTTTTAAAAATAGAGAATCAGACTATGTATATTGTTTTACAACTCATTTTTTAAAAACAGAATAATACATAATGTCTATATATAGATTTTTTTCATTCCTTTAATGCATGCATAGTATTTTACAGTGAGGTGAGTTTGAATTTTTGTGGGAGAGGTTTTGCACCATCACAAGTTATGCATGTTGCTTTTTATCTGAGCCTTTGCCAACATTGAACAACATCAGTCTGATAAGCAAGAATCTCATTGTACTGTTTTGTACTTTTTTAAAAACAAAAACAAATGCTGCCCATTATCTTTCTATTTTGTATTAACCATTTCTTCTGTGATGTGTTTCCATTCCATGCCTATTTAGCTACTTGGTGGTTTATTTTACATTTATCTTTGTTTATTAGTACCATTATGGTGCTGTCATATGCAATGTCAGTTTTCTTTCATTTTACCATTTGACTTTTAATTTCTCTAAATTGTTCTACCAACTTATTTTTTTCCCCTTTGCCTCTTTTACTGCTCTGTCTTGTCCATTCATCATTCTTGCTTCTTTTAGCAATAGACTTACCCTTTCTATATTCCCATAGAATGTTTTGAAAATTAGGAGTATAAATTCTGATTCAAACCTTGCAACCCTAGGCAAATCACTTCTCTTTGCTTTGCATTTCCATTTATTTTTGTCTGAATAGTAATAACCTCTTTTGCAGCATAGTTTAGATCAAAATACCATTGCAGTTATGAAGTTCATCATAATGTTAAAAGAACTAAATATAAAATATATATATATATCACTTAGACACAACTTTTGAAAACGTTTAGTAGAAATTTAGTCTGTTACTTTATTTAGTGAATGGAGAACCTGAGTCTCAAAAAGCTAGGTGGCTTGTTTTTTTTTTTTTTTTTTTTTGAGAGAGAGAGAGAACTTTTAACATTTATTTTTCAGTTTTTGGCAGACACAACATCTTTATTTTATTTTATATGGTGCTGAGGATGGAACCCAGCGCCCCGCGCATGCCAGGCGAGTGCGTTACCGCTTGAGCCACATCCCCAGCCCGCTTGTGTTAATTTCTAACTGCAGTTAATTTCTTACTTGTCTGGATTTCTCACCTTTAATGAGATGTTACAGCTAAAGTGTTGAGTGAGGGTCAATAGAAATTAGACTTATGCTTGGCTTTATTACCAATTATTTTAAAAAAGCTCTTTAGTTCAGAAGTACAACCCTTTTATTGGTGTCTGTGTGGCTTATTCCTAATTAATTGAATGTCCTGAGGGACTTAAATTTGTGTTCTTCAGGCTGCTATGGATAGTGCTCGACTCAGTGCTGCCAAATCATCTCCCATGATGGAAACAATCAACATGGTAAGTGTCTAAATATGATGAGAAAGTTAGTTTGCTTCTCTTCAAGTGTAATTTCTTCAAAGTATTCACCCTGTATTAAATGAAATGAATTGAAGGAATAGATCAGTTAGCTATTGTGACTTTAGTTGTTTCTTTTTCTTTTTTAATTTATGTTTTAGTTGTAGTTGGACACAACACATTTATTTATTATTTATTTATCTATCTATCTATTTATTTATTTATGGTGCTGAGGATCGAACCCAGGGTCTCACATGTGCTAGGCATGCGCTCTACCACTGAGCCATAACCCCAGTCCTAGTTTTTTTTTTAATATTTTATATTTTAAAATTTTGAATGATATATTAAAAATGTATACATTTGAGGGTTTTAAAAATATTCTTATTTTCTTATTCTGTTACTAAATTAAGTAAATGTTTTCCTAAAACTAGAACTAAGTAGTCCAAATTTATGATACAAGGGAGAATAACCTATTAAGAGATAATATAATCTGGATCTATCTACCTATTTTAAAAAGATTTAGAATCCACCCCCCCATCCCACCCCAAGAGTTGTCTTTGGGAAGGACCAAGAAATTATCAGCTTATAGGTATTTAATGAAGTAGGCAGCACAGAAGGTAGTTGAAGGGAACTGAACAGTTATGTATGTTGTTTAAGTCATAGGAAGGAATTTTTGGCTAAGAGCTTCTTGGCATTTTGCGGTTCTGAGTTTTAAAGTTCCTTGAGTTTCGATAGAGTCATCTCTACCCAAGAATTCCCTGTAATGCTTAACTAAGAGCTTGTGAGCTACTGGAAATTGGTTTACTAAGCAGATCACAGAGCTGCTGGACAAGGAGAATAGAAATTTTTAGTGCCTACAGGGGGAATAATACCAAAATTTAGTCTAAGGATATTATGTCTTAGTTGGTTTACTGAGGGAATATAAAGCTTAAAGAAATGGGAGTAGTTAGCAAGCACCATATGAATATGTTCATTAATAATAGAATATGTGGATGCATTTTAAAAAATATAGTATACTGAACTAGAGAGGAATTTATCTAAGAAACTGACTTACTAGGGATGGGAAGGTATGCCCACAAAGAGGTCAGTTTTAACATAGGACTTTTTACAGTAAACATGAATTAATAAAGAGAAAGTAGGTCCAGAGAGGTCTTTTGTTCTGGGTTATCTTTATTTTCTCCTTTAATAAATTGATGTTTTTCATTGTTTTTGTTTTGTTCTGTTTTTAATGTTGAACTACTGGTAGATATTTTTTCTGTTTGTAGTGCAATGGTGGTTTAAATATTGAAATCAGAGCAAAATCAAACCAGTGATTTTTCCAATTCATATCAAATCCAGTGGGTACATATTTGACCCGAGCAGTTTTTAATTTAAGATGTAGTATTGACTTTAATTATTTGCTAAGGTTTGCCTTCATATTTATTCTTTTCCAAAAGTGCCTGCAATATCTTGATGTGTCGGTGCTGGGTGAGCTAGTTCCTAGATTATGTGAACTGATCAGAAGTGGTGTAGGTCTTGGAACTAAGGTAAGTAAATGTATTTTTCACAAGAGGAAGTATACATCTTCATTAGTTTTGAGATAGAAAAATATAATAACCATCATGTTTGAAATTTGCATCTCTATATAACCTAATATTATTATACATTGAACATTTTGTTTCTATGGTTACACGAATAGCTTAAAACTTGTAATTGATTTGGAAATATAACATGTGCCTGATGTAGGAACTAATATCTTCTTTTTGGTGGATTCATTTGTGTTCCCTGGGTACATGCTCTTGGTTCTCCTTTATTATCACTTAATGGTGACGCACATCCATTTGTCAGGAAGTGATTGTTTTAGGGTATAAGAATATTTCGTAGAGGGGTCTGCAGGTTTTGGGTGGAAAAATGTCCTCTTTTCAAGATTATACAAGGATAATCCCCTACTTTTTTGGTAGGCTTTTTCTTTTACTTTTTAAAAATAGGGCAGTTTAGTTTCACAATAAAATTAAGCAGAACATACAGGGTTCCCATATATTCCCTGCTCCATGCTGGCATAGTCTTTCCCACTCCATAATATGCACCCGGGTGGGAGGGGTTGGGGTAGGCATGCCATTACAAATGATGAACCTATAGTGTCTCATTATTTCAACCAAAATCCCCACCTCCTTTTTGAAACAAATGACTCAGTTTTTTTTTTCTCAAGGCAAAATTGGTATTTATTTAAAATTTTTAACATTTATAAATCAGAAAGAAGTTTAAAAAATTGTTTATAATTTTAATGCACAGAGAAAATTGTTTAAACTGAGTATATTTTCTGTGCATGTATCTTCAGTAATGATCATATAATACTCTATTGTATGGAGATAAAACTGTTTATTTTAATCCAATGAGGAACATTGATTGATTTTTAGGTTTTTAAAAAAATACTAAAGTGCTGTGATGAGTATCTTTGGATACATTGAAAACTATTTCCTTTGGTTAAATTTTTAGAAAAGGAAATGCTAGCATAAGAGTAAGTGATTGCTTGTGTTGTTTTCCTACAAGATTGTATCTTTTTTTTTTTTTTTAATTCACAGTGCCCAAGGCCACTGATCTTGTTGGAGGTCTTCAAAAAACAAATATCTCTTCATTACTAGTTCAAAATAAGTTTTCCTTTTTCTAGACTGAATTCTGGAGGGTCTATTAGGCTTCATGTGTTTCATATACTTAAACCTTTGGTACCAAAACCATATTGTTTGATAGACTAAACAATGTGATCATCACACTTAGACCTTTGCTTTTTTTGTAACTCTAAAGGGAGGCTGTGCCAGTGTCATCGTGTCTTTAACAACTCAGTGTCCGCAGGACCTAACACCTTACTCAGGTGAGTTTGTTTTACCATGTTTGTGGAAATTTTTGCACGGTTGTATATCTTATGAGACAAAGTTTTAAATGGAAAAATATTTAAACATGTTTAATATGCTGTGTGCTTTTTTCCTACTCTCCAAATCTCTTTGTCTCGAGGTTTGCAGTGTTTAGCAAGTTTTTACTGTCCTAGGAGTGTTTGATTGTTGTTTCTTAGTGGTATAAGGAGGTAAGAGTATCTTGTCATTCAGTAGGACTTGTTTATCATACAGAACTAATTTTATATCAGCATTTTTCTTCTTATACTGGCTTCTAGGTAAGATGTGGATCTCATGAACTTTTATGTCTCCATCTCTCATTTTTGCAACTTTCCCCACAATATTCTAGACAGTGGTTAACTTTTAATTTACTATCAGGAGACAGAAGGCAAAACAGTACAAATATAACATTCAAGAGATCTAAACTATTATGGAGTAAACCAGCTATTAATTATAAGGTTATTTATTTATTTTTGTCTTGGAATAGAGTAGACCATTTGATTAACCAAGTATCAGATTTTTTCTTTTATTTCTGGTAGGTAAACTTATGAGTGCTTTGCTTAGTGGCCTGACAGATCGAAATAGTGTAATTCAGAAATCTTGTGCATTTGCCATGGGCCATTTAGTTCGGGTGAGTTGAATTTCTGATTTAGTTAAATAAAACTCTTTGATAATTATAGAGAAATGACTAGAATTGTTTCTTTTTTAGACCTCACGAGATAGCAGCACTGAAAAACTGCTGCAAAAGCTCAGTGGCTGGTACATGGAGAAAGAAGGTACCTTCTGTTTCATGTCAATTTTAATTTAGACGGTAACGTAATAAAGTAATACATGTAAAGTAACAGTGAATTGTTCTCTGACATAATGTATTTTGTTAGAAACATTTCTAATTCATTTTACTTGTTTGTTTTGCTATGGTACAAATTGAGCAATAGTATATTTAGATTAGTTATCCTGAAAACCAATAATTATTATAAAATTTTGGTTTCTTCTTCTCTTCAGAACCCATCTATAAGATTTCTTGTGCTTTGACTATTCATGCGATTGGACGATACAGCCCTGATGTATTAAAGAACCATGCCAAAGAAGTTTTGCCCTTGGCATTTCTAGGCATGCATGAAATTGCTGATGAAGAGAAATCTGAAAAAGAAGAATGTAATTTATGGACTGAAGTGTGGCAGGAAAATGTACCTGGTTAGTACACTGCCTTTAAATTAAACCTGCTTTCTATAAACTATAACTGGAATTCTTTTTACTGACATTGTTTATTCATAAACTCCTCTATAATTTCTTTCCTAGAACTTTAACAATATGTATCTCATTTAATTTTTAGTCAATCCAAATTTCTAAGTACACAATGTTGGCATTTGGAGCTTTTCTCTTTGACTTGTGGCTGCCCATGTGAGAATACAAACTGCCCAAGCAAAGTAGGGCTCCACTTATTTTAGTCAAGAGTATAATGGTTGGTGCACGCCTGTAATCTCAGCAGCTGAGGAAGCTGAGGAAGGAGGATTGTGAGTTCAAAGCCAGCCTCAGCAACTTAGCAAGGCCCTAAACAACTCAATGAGCCCCTGTCTCTAAATAAAATACAAAAAAGGGCTGGAGATGTGGCTCAGTGGTCGAATGCCCCTAGATTCAATTCCTGGTACCAAAGTTAAAAAAAAATAAAATAAAATAAAGTGTAACGGTGATTTTTATGTCGCTCAGTATTATTTTGGAGTAGTGTTTCTCAGAGGTGTTTTTTCACTCTGACACACATTAATGTATGATGGATCAATTGCACTACATCTTCCTGGAAACATATCCAAGTTCATGTAGTCCTTACTCTTATAAAAATAAGCCACACCACCCACTGTTCCTCCCTTTGAGAGTGGTGTGCTTTAACAGTTTGACAATCATTGCTTTAGACTGATGGCCACTGACTTTCTTCAGACTTAAAAAAAGAGAAATTGGTTAATATTTCCTGTCACTTAAGAAGTATTTTAACTGCATTTTAAACCCAGGGTCCTTTGGAGGCATCCGATTGTACCTGCAGGAATTGATTACCATTACCCAGAAGGCATTGCAGTCTCAGTCTTGGAAGATGAAAGCCCAGGGTGCCATTGCCATGGCATCAATTGCAAAACAGACCAGCTCTCTAGTACCTCCATATCTGGGAATGATACTGAGTGCATTGTTGCAAGGCCTGGCTGGAAGAACATGGGCAGGAAAGGTAAAGAAAACATTCTTAGTTAAATTTAAAATATCCTAAAAAAACTATGACTTAATATTTCATTTTCTATAAAAATAAGAGTCTGGTTTTGTGTGACTTTAAATGTATTGTTTTTGTGAAGCTGATTTCTTAGTCAGTAGGAGGCTTTGGGTAAACTTCACCTGGTTTTAACTATATGCTATTCATCTCAAAATGTGACCCTCATGTCCTTGAATGCAGAGATTAATAGATCTTGCATATTTGATTATCCAAGTTATCTCTTAAATCACGTGTCATCAATTTGTAACTGTTGATCCCATAAACAAGTCAGGATTGGGCTTGTGTAAAGTTGAGTACCAAGGCAAGCTGCTTCTAATCCTGGGGCTGTAGTTGCTCATGTGAGGTCTGTGATTAGAAACTGTTCTTTTTTACACAAGGGACATACAGTGAGTATTCAGTGGAGAACATGAGACTGTGGCAACATGTAATGGTCTCCTTTATTTTGTAAAGGTCAGTAGTGGCCAAGGCAGTATTGTGGAAATAGTATTATACTGGGTATCAGTTGTAATCGTGATTCTGTGGTTGATACTTTTGCTGTGTGATCTTGGGCAAATATGTTCTCAGGCCTTTATGAAATGGAGATTAAGATCATTATCCTGTATTCATGGTTTGGAGTAAAACTTGGTGTATGTGCCTGTAACAACAAAGCACATTGAAGATAAGATGAATGTTGTTAATTTTTGTTGTCATAATTATCCACTATTCCTGAGGTAATTGTCATCATGGTATAGAGAGTGTGACATTTGTGGGCTTAATAGTTATTCCCTCATCTTGCATTTCCTTAGGAAGAACTATTGAAAGCCATTGCCTGTGTGGTGACAGCTTGCAGGTAAATGTTCTATTAAGATGTCATTTCTTAAACTGAACCTGAAAGTTGTAACCTTTATTAACTGTTTTGATGCTTTTTTGTGGATCCTATAGTGCAGAGTTGGAAAAGTCTGTGCCCAATCAACCCAGCACAAATGAAATTCTTCAAGCTGTTCTGAAGGAGTGTTGCAGAGAAAATCTTAAATACAAAATCGTAGCAATCAGCTGTGCAGCTGATGTTTTGAAGGCCACCAAAGAAGACAGATTCCAGGAGTTTTCTGACATTGTCATACCTCTCATCAAGAAGGTAATGACAGTTACCTATGTTCTATTAGGTCTGGTCTGTACTTAAAAGAAAAAAAAGCTAAAAAATATATTTCTGTTTCCTGATTGCATGTTTTATTAAAGTTTGTCTTTCATATGATAGGCGAGAAGTCTTCAGGGACTCTGGTTCTTTATATTTTATATTTCACTAGAGTGAAATATAAGCCCATGTGTCATGCCTCTGCAATATACTGGGTAATTCTAGTAAAAGAAGACTGATTTTTGGATGGGGTGGTACTCAGTGGTAGAACACTTGCCCAGCACGTGTGAGGCACTCGATTCGGTCCTCAGCACCACATAAAAATAAATAAATAAGAAAATAAATAAATAAAATAAAGACTGGTTTCATTTGGAAAATGAAGTACATTTTTTTAGAGGTTGGACACTAAAAAGAAAGAGGAATATAGTTTACTTATTTGAAGCATGAAATATTTTAAATAGCTTTTCTTGTTTCTTATTTTGCCAATTTGTATTCATTTTGTTTCCATAATAAGACTGTTTAAATAATTTCCGTTACATATATAACAGTAGTATATGGATTTGGAGACTTTTGATTTAAATTGATTATATCACCAGTTAGCTGTACCAGTTACTTCTGGTCTATTCCTGGTTTATTAAGAAAGAATTTGGGTGTATATCATTACCAAGTTTCTTCCATTGTTAATTCTAATTCTAATGCAGGTCTTTTTAAGGTCGTACGCAAAACATAACATATATTGTGTTTTCCCCACTTTTTATTTAAAGTACTTCCCAGATTAGAGAAATATTATTTCTATTAAAAATTCTCATTATAAATAGGTAAACTATTGGTAGAGAATTTAGCATTTAATTCTTGGTCAGTGTCTTCTACTTTGGTAATTTATTTAATTGCTTTGATAGTGTTTCTCTAACTTTAAAAATGAAATAATAAATTTTGCTTTTCTGTTCTTTGATATATCCTAGAACTCACTTGAAAGCATGGGGGTCCGGATGACCAAAACAGAAGATGAGAATGAGAAGGAAAGAGAACTGCAGCTGGAGTCTTTGCTGGGTGCCTTTGAGAGCCTGGGCAAAGCCTGGCCTCGGAATGAGGAGACCCAACGTAAGCACCAGAACCTGCATTTGAAGAAGTGCTATAACCTGAGGTTACAAGAGCATAGATTTTCTGTATGGCAAATTAATAATTATTATAGAATCTGATTGAATAATTAGATAATAGTGAGAATTATGTAATATAAATTTTATTACATTATCATCAAATAACCTCATGATGATTATATTGCTTTATTAGAGCTACTGTAAGAAAGTTTCACAAGCTAGAGAGCTGAAACAGTAGAAATTTATTTTCTCACAAAACTGGAGGGTAAAAATTTAAAATCAAGGTGTCAGCAGGGTTGATTTCTTTTGAGGCCTTTCTTTTTGGCTTGTATCAGGATGTCTTCTTCCTGGGTCTTCATGTGGACTTCCCTCTGTACACTGTATCTTAATCTCTTGTTCTCTCAAGCCATATTAGAATAGGGCCCACCAGTATGACCCTTTTAAAGACTGTTTGCTGATTCAGTTGTGTTCTAAGGCTGGAGGTGGTTAGGACATCAACATAGGAATTTTGGTGGACATAGTTCATAACAACCATGATAATTTTTATGTGGTTGGCTTGATTATAGGAATTATTCTGTTATTTGATTATCTATTCTGAGGAATCCAGAAAAATTTATTAGTATCTCTTTGTCTCAAAATTAATGGCCTTGCTGCTATATCTTCACTAAGCAAGTGACAAATGTTTCACTGAGAAACTCATGACTGAGAGATTTTTCATAATTGGACAGGTACTTTTAAAGGATTGTTGAATCAGAGTGCAGTTAGTTTTAAGTCCTTTGACAGGTCCTTCAATGTGGGCTGATGCCACTCTTTTAAGTTTGCTTGTTCTGGGTTCCATACTGTGTCCCTCTGGATATCTCAATATTCTTGAGTATTATGAAATGTATTATGGATTATTCATGATTTGTTTATCTAAAATCAGACTTAAGGGTTTTGTGCTTTGTGTGGACTTCTATTTGTATATTTTGTATAAAATATACTTGTGATGTATCAGAAGAATTTTCCAAAAGACACTGTACAGATTTGTGAGTGGTATTATCTCTTGGTGCAGTGTATGGATTTTAGTGGAAGTCCTCTTATTTCTCACCATTCGGACTATTAACTTTTGCCTGAAGCTAAAAAAGTAGGGAATTACATAAAAAAGATGACATAAAAACAAAACAGTTCATTTTAACTTAGAAGTAGAAATGTACATTTGTTTGACCAGAGAGCCAAGGCCATTCCTATAGAGTTTAACTGTTATACATTGAAGTTTCACATATATCTTACTCAGAATGTTGTCACCTGTAATTTCTGCCTGTAATTCTTTTTTTAAAAAAGATATTTACTTTTTAGTTGTGGTGGGTCACAACACCTTTATTTCACTTGTTTATTTTTATTTTTTTGTATGTGATGCTGAGGATCACACCCAGGGTTTCGCATGTGTGGGGCGAGCGCTCTACCACTGAGCCACATCCCCAGCCTACCTTTTGTTTCTTTAAAAATAGAGAAGAAAATTACAGTTAAGAGAAGAAAATTACAATTAAGAAGCAAACGTAGTGCAGAATTCTAGATTTTTACCACCCTCCCTTATTTTTACATTTCTTCTACTAAATCCTATAGCATTTAAAAAAATGGCTCCTTTGCTGAGTGTTATACCCCTGATTCATCAGGTAGTGTAACATTAATTATGTAATTACAACAACAGTAGCAATTGGGACAGCAGGTTTGTGACCAAGCACTTGATTCTTGGTAAACATATGGGTTGCAGAAGCTTATAAGAGTGTGGGAGGCTCCAGAACTTAGCTTTCTTTATTAGTGTTATTTAGGGAGTTTAAAGGGAAAGGAAATATGGTTAAAATGCTCCTTAGTTCTGTAGAGGATGATATGCCTTGAAAGCAAACATTTATGGAAATAGATATAATTTTGTTGGGAGAAGAGAGGTCCTGATTAAGGAAATTGTTTGAAAATTAAACACAAAGTCATGCTGAAGGTTTTGTTTTTTGGGTGGTGGTGGTGATTTCATGACTTTAATTAAAGGCATTTATTGTTTCCCTCCTCTGCTTTATTCTTCTTGTCTCTCTACCCTCTTTCACTGTCCTCTTCTCTATCTGTTCCTCATTTGTTCTGTCACTCCTTCACACTTTCTTCTGCTCTGTCCTACATTTTATTTTTCTCAGGTTGTTATCGTCAGGAGCTGTGCAAAATGATGTGTGAACGGCTAAAACTCAGCACATGGAAAGTGCAGCTGGGAGTTCTTCAGTCAATGAATGCTTTTTTTCAGGGGTAATTTGCTTTATCTCCCTCCCCCCACTAGCATTCTGTATATAATCAATAGAATTGTTACAAATTTTCAAACTAGTAGCTGAAGTGATATAGTACAAATTATAACATGCAGGTAGAAATTGTTGTGCCAGGATGGTTTGAGAATGTTTCTTAGTAGCATTTGTGTTTTGCTTTCTGATTTGTGTAGGTTAATGCTTTTGGAAAAAGAACATGCAGATCCTGCAGCTTTGGCTGAAATTCTCCAGGAAACTTGTAAATCTATCACTTATTCTTTAGGTGAGTGTAGTAACCCAAAATTGATAAGAAATGCTGATTTTAAAGCTAAGGAACTGATCTTTCAATATTCCCTATCTTGTTGTGGGAACTAAATTTCTGGAACAATGGCCGAACTGTCCTACTTATTATACTCCACCTAAACTGGATATTTTAATCTAGAATTATAGTAGAATTTTAGCACCTAGATTAGACCTTTGTGGCAAGTATTTAATTTTTTTTTTTTTTAACTTGGAAATGATTTTAAACTTACAGAACAATTGCAACAAGTAGTTCACTTACGGTGTCCACTTTTGCTCATTTTGTCCTATTGCCTTTATCTTTTGGCTTTCTACATATTTGGTCCTTTTTCTGAAATATTTGAAGTATATTATTGCTTATATTACATCTCTTTATTTTTACATTTTCACTGTGCATTCTTTTATATAACAATAGTATAGTTATTAAACTTAGATAATGACACAGATGTAGTGTTATCAAATTTTTACCATTCATATTCTCTTTTTTTTCAGTAATTTTATTTATAGGATTTCCTCAGAATTGTTTTCATTAAAGAATTCAGTCAAGGAAAATTTACTGCTTTAGTTGTTATACATTTTTAGTCTCTTTTAATCTGGAATACTTCTTCAGCCTTTGACAGTTTTGAAGAATAACCACATACGCACCCCCATTCTGTTACCAGGGATTGAACCAAGGGGCACTTAACCACTAAGCTGCAACCCCCAGCCCATTTTTATGTTTTATTTTGAGACAGGGTCTTGCAAAATTTCTGAGGCTGGCTTTGAACTAGGGATTCTCCTGCCTCAGCCTCTCAAGCTGCTGAAGGTAGTTGTGTCCCACCACACCTGGTTCTCACTCCTGTTTTTGAAAAATGGAATGTTTGTAATTTGTTCTTTGATGTTTCCTCATGATTAGATCTGGCTTATGAATTTCCAGTTGGGATAGTACATAGGTCATACTGTTTTTCCTTGCATCAAGAGGCACACAGTGTGTTTACATCCATTTGTGACATTGATTTTGATTACCTTGCCAAGGTATTAGTGATTCTCTGTACTGTATACTTTCTATTTTTTTCTGTTCTGTCTAATTAGCAGCCTGTGGGAACATAACTTTTAAGACCATTTAAATAATCTCCTTTAAAACTGCATCTAGCAAGCAGTCTTTGAGAAGACACTATTAAGACTGTGCAAATTTCTCCTCTTCAAAATGTCTTCTCTATATGGCATGAATTCATAATTCTTCCTTGAACCAATTTTTTATGATTTTTCAACTCGAGCACTTTCCACATTTGCCATTTGGTAGCCAGTATTCTTTTGTAAGAAAATTTTTTCTTCTCCCTATCTGTTTGTTTATTGACTGGTATTGATTTATGGATTCCTTCAATCCCCCCACCTCCCAATGAGTTAATTATTTTTCTTAAGTAATTTATTACTTAAATTGTCCCATTTCTCCAATGGAAGCCCCTTCAAGCTGACCTCTTACATCCTCTTGGCAAGTCACCATCTTTTTTTTAAAAAAAATATTTATTTTTTAGTTTCAGGTGGACACAACATTTTTATTTTGTTTTTATGTGGTGCTGAGAATCGAACCCACTGCCCTACGCATGATAGGCAAGCACGCTACCACTTGAGCCACATCCCCAGCCCCACCATCATTTTTTGTAGCACTTCTTTCCCTACCTTGGGCTTGGTTTTGTATTAATTTTTTGGTATATAATTTCACTGTGAACTAGATGCCATATCTAAGAGTAGATACCAACAAGGCATAATTTAGTTGCACCTCTTGGAGTTAGCATGCTATTATGGTTAATGAATTGACAGCTAACAACTTTGTCTTTGTAGGGTTTCAGGTGTCCCTGAGTTGGTCTAAACATTGGGTTGTATAATGTTCTTTGGTAAAAGGAGGAGGATCGTGGAAACCTGAAGACCTTTCTTAGCTATGATGTGAAGATGCTATATTTGAGATAGTGTCTTTTGATTTCCCACTTCTAAAATGAGTTCTTTATTACCATGTTGTAGTGATTGGTATATTTGGCTGATAGTCCCCTCTGTTCCCCAAAGTGAGGAATGTGGATATGTAGCACATTTCAAGTATTTGATAGTAATTAGCAAGGGGAAGCTCACTTAGAAAAAACAAAAACAAACAAGAACAACAAAAGTTGTAGCTTTCTATGAAGTTACAAGTTCTGAACATCTTTCAGTGACTGTAATCTTAGAAGTTCTGTCTTGAAGGCATACATATGAACTGTGTGATTTTCTTCTTAGAAAATAAGACCTACTCATCTGTGAGAACAGAAGCTTTATCTGTGATAGAATTACTGCTTAAAAAACTTGAAGGTGAGTTTTTGATAGTTCTGGTTGGAGGACCAGCAAACCCAGACCCTTTATGGCACATAATTTAGAAATGTTTTGTTTTGTTTTTGCTTATACTCTAAAATACAAATTAATATATGTGCATATCAAGTAGAATATACAAAGCTAAAATTATTCAATTTAAGGGTTTGATACTTCTATATACTTCTCATGTATTATTAAGTTGTATTTATCCCAGAGTAATAAAGTTTCTGTTTCCATCATTAATTATGATTTAATCTTGGTTAATTACGGAAGTGTTTGACAATGGCATAGTAGACTTAATTGAATACATATAAATAAGCAGAGTGACACCACTGGAAAGAAGATTGAAAACATTTTACACTTACCCACTTGAGTCATCAGATTTGATAATAGCACTTTTTTAAAAGTCATATTTCTTTTTCCTCATTTTCTTTCTTTTTAAAAAACTTTATTCAGAAACAAGTTTCTTCTAATGGTCTATTGCATCAGTGGTAGGAAAAAAAAAATGGCCAGCATTTTCTCCAGTTTTGTTTTTGTTGCTGATTTCAAAAGGAAGCCTGTTTTGGTTTTCCTCTATTTTTTATTGTTTTTACCCCATGGTTAAGAATGCAGAAGATGGAACAGTTTTCTCCACAGCCTTGTGGATTTGCTGTTTGTTTTTCTATCTTTGCTTAGCAGTTAATGGTAAACATCACAAAGTCCCTTTTTTCCTTGTTGAAATAAAAGAGCTAGGCACTTAGATTACTGAATTCTCAGTTTGCCAGAGAGGTGCTAATATATTCTAGACGAGGAAACTGAGGCTAAATGGTTATTAATAACTTGCTTGATGCCACATTGCTAGAAAGTGGCAGAACCTTAAAAATACAATTTAAGACTTGGTATACTTTCTTATTTTCTACAATTTCAGAATGTATATAGTTCTGTTAACTTTCTTTAAAGAAATGAGTCATAAAGTTTCTGCTTAAGCCAACTTTGCAATTAGGGATTTTTTTCCACTGAGTGTATCTTGACACTCTGCCTTCCTCAGTGCTTCCTTCTTCCCACTTTGTTGTGGTACAGTTCCTTTCACTTTGCTTCAATGCTACTGGGAAAGAGGGGTGAGACACTCTGAGTAGCTGTCAGGCTACTCTCAGTACTTGGGTTTTGAGCTACCCATTGAACCTATGATTATTATGTACTTCAAGGGCTTGCTTTGTATTTATTTTGGGTATAGGATATGTGGAAGAAAAGAGTTTCAGTTTTTTTTTTTTTTCTTGCTTGTTCTGTAAGAGTTCTTTGGTTTCTTTCTCTTTTTTTCTTTTTCCATACAGAATCTAAACAGTGGGAAAGTTTGACATCTGAATGCAGAGTGCTCCTGATTGAGTCTTTAGCTACTATGGAGACAGATAGCAGACCTGAACTGCAGGAGAAAGCATCATTACTTAAGAAAACACTTGAAAATCTGGAATAAATGAGAAGGGGAAGAAACAAGTGCCATGTTTATTGGGGGTTGAAATGGTGGTATTCTTTAAAAAACCAAGTGGGGAAGAGTAAAGATTAATCTGTAGCATGCATCATTCCTTGGCTGAAATAAAAAAAAAAAAAGCCTTAAAGTTTGTTCCTTATTAGCTTTATTTTAACTTGACTCTTTTTTTTTTTTTTTTTTTTATTAAAACGTGGGCTGAGCTTAAAGGAACCTTGGGTGTTTGCGAGGTGGTTGATTGTAAATGAGACGGGAAGAAATAGTTGTTAAAAGAATTAAAGCTATTATAAAAAATTAAAGCTATTACAGAGAGTTGCAGAGCAAGCTGGACAAAAATCTTAGCTATCCAAGCTAAAGTTATTTCAGGATGGTTTCCTATAAATCACTTTAACCTCTTCTTTTAGACCTGAGGAAATAGGATTGGAGGTGATATAAATTACTTTCTGAGCCCTGTGCCAAGGGCAGATCAGGTGTTAAACATCCTGCCCACTACACTCTTTTACAGCCGGACGCCAAAAGCATTGCTAACCATGGCCTACCCCAGAAATTCCAAAGATGAAGTAGATTGAGGGTGACTGACAATAGTCCTTGATTGACTCTTTATCATTGGGTTCTTCAAAGTCAAAAGCTCAACATTTCATGTGTTCAACGGTTAAATTTTTAGAAAGTGATTGTTTAGCATCTTTACAGGTTGAGAGCACAAGTTTGGGCTCCATGTGATTCTAATCAAAGTCCTTTTACAGACAGATTAAAGTAGAAGACAAGATTGTTCCTCTGTCTGTATCTGTGGTTGCATATTTTGCAAAACCCAAAACAAAAAATCGCAGACTGCCTTGATTTAGACCATTTGTAATCTCAAAATTGTAATGACAACTTAAAATTTTTTACTCATTTTTATGCTAATAGTCTGACTTTGTAGGGTAGAAGGAGAGCCTATTAATTAACCATCATGAAATTACCTCTTTTTAATGCATTTTCTTAAAATAGCATATCACTCCAAGTAGATAATTGTAGACAGAATTTCTTTCCTTCCTTCTGCTGCTCACACCCCTGCTTAAGAGTATAGGGTAATTTTAACCTACATGTTTATGGTTAGCTAAGGACTCTTTAGCTTGCCTTGGATTCCACGGCACAAGATTGATTTACATGCAGTACTGTTCTCTTATTGCATCAACACCAGGAATCTCCACGTTTATTATTTTTGGTGGAAACTCTATATTTATTAGTATTGGTTGTCTCCATTGACCACTGTGCATTTCATACTGTTTTGGTTGTGACTCATAATAAAAATAACTTCTACTTCATGATCCAGAACAGAATGTGTGTGTGTGTGTGTGTGTGTGTGTGTGTGTGTGTGTGTGTGTGTATGTATCTATGTCTGAATATAAAATCTTTAACTGAAATAAATCTTTTGTGAAATAATACATAGTCACTATGTGTGACACACTTTGATTTCTCTCTGTTGTAAATTCTTCAGACCCACTCAACTGGGTTACTACTCATAGTTTGAAAAACACTGCCATGGATAGTACCTAAATTTATCTGAATGTGTTATGTTTGGGATTACTTCTGATTAGGAAAAGGATTTACAAATAAAAATTTTCAGTGTTTATTACTCTTTGCTGATACTGAAATGTAGTTGTGAATTTTACAGAACCTTTTGTAGACTTCCATTTGAGAATAACTTGCTTGGATGTTCTTCAGAAAGCTGTGATTCATAGGACTTGGTATTTTCCAGATCAGCATTTCCCCTCCACTAAATGCCCTCTGACTTTCACTTACAGTATGGAGGATATGCTTCCTTGTCAAGAGGGTAGTGCAGGTCAGGGATGTTCAGAAAGTAATAATTTAAAGAAGGGCAAGATCTGTGCAAATGGTCTGTAGCAGGTGTTGAAACCTCATCAAATTTTGTGCTTTTAAAGCTTTTTGGTTATTTAATATTGGGAATTTCCCTTGGTGCTGAGAATGGTGCTGATATCACCTCAACCCCCACTCTGTCTGCCAAAACTTAGTGCTTTTGAGTTACATTTCTTTTAGCTTTCTAAGCACATTTCTAATTTATATACTTAATGCCTTCATCTTGACCAGCCAAACCATTTACACATCTACTCATGATAAATTATTTTCTCACAGTGCAGCTTATGTTTGGTGTACACACATTTATTTAAACAGGTCAATAACTGAGTCTGTAAGTACAGAATGTTGATGATGATGAACAAATGGCTAAAGTTCCCATGCACACCTCTTTCATCAGTCTTCATTATTTAAAGCTATCTGGAATGGATTTTGATTATTTTTCTCTCTATAAGTTCAGAGCTTCTTGTCATACAAACAACCAGTTTGTAGGCTCTCTTACTGAATTCCTTATTCCTGACATTAGTGCATTATCTATAGCTTCACAAATTTATTGATATGTGAGAGGGGAGATTCCGGGACTGTGGCAACTGGAAATAACCATGAAAGTGGTATACAGTTGTATTTTGGGTGATAAAGAGCAATTTGAATGTTTATATTCAATTTATAGTTCCCAGAGGGTCTTCCTGTGACAAATCTCCGTTCACAAGACTTCCACCAAATTCCTGTTATGTTGCCCTTTTTTCACTTATGTATTATGAAAAAGAAAAAAGAAACAAAGATACGGTCTCAGTTGTCTGCTCTACTAACAGTTGCACTTCTGAACATGGGTCCTTTGTGGGATGTATCTTGGTTCTAGTGCCACAATATATTCATGCTGCTTGTTAAGTCCAGGGAATTATTTTGATATTGGCACTCACTGTAATGTATAAGCTGTTGTTAAATGGATGTATATGTGACAGATTTTTGTATTTTGTATGCGACGTCTTCACAGAATCCTCCGCAATATGTACTTGGCTAGCAAAGCATGTAATAAGCCTTCTTTGAAAGGAAAATCTGTCCCATGCTAAGAAGACATTAAATGGTAAATAAAAGCTGCATAGCTTGTTCTTTTGAAGTACTGCATTAATTTTTTACCATTTCTCTAGGAAAATAGTTTATCTGTCAAGGCATTGACTAGCTATACTTTTTTTTTTTTTTTTTTTTTAAGGCTTTATTGCCTGCCACATTCTGAGCTAACTCTAAAAAGTAGAAATTGCTGACTGACATGTCTGGGGGCTCCAAGGCAAAGCAAAAACAACCAAGACGCTCTCAACAACTGCTGTCAGGTACTTGGAAGGAAATTTGTCATTAGAAGATTTGATTTTCGGATAAAAATTTCATGAACATATAGAAATGACAGGCAGTTCTTCTTTTGACCAAAGTGAATATACATGACTATGTACATAAAATGTCAGGAGGACAGGCACATCCTATAGTGAAAACTGTTCCCTCATGCTTTTCTTATTTCTTTTAAGCAGGCTCCAAGTTGATTTCTTATAATATAGTTTTTAATGTGGGAAGTCATTTTGCAAAGCTTATAGATTACCAAGCCTTTCAAACAAATATAGAATGGAAAGTTTTTCTACCTTTTAAAATCATGTCTCTTGCACATTGATTGAGCCTTTATTAAAAAATCTGAAGGGCAGTGAAAAAGCAATAAGATCACCATTTTTGTTTGGATATTTCTCTGAAAAGAGCAATTTAAAGCCAATTTTGCTTATTTATGTTTAGGTATGTAATTTTATTATGCTACTTTTGATTTCAGAACAATCTTAAAGTACAAAATATTTTCTGAATATTAATCGAAACAATATTTTTCTTAAAATTGTATTTTATTTCAGTACTGCAAAGAGCCCACCTTTTAGCGCACAAGGTTTCCAGGGTGGTATTGGTGGCCATTCAGATTGTTTCCCTGAATGCAGTATGTAATTTTCCTGTTTGCTTTCATGATTTCTTCTAGTTTTGAATTTCAGCACTTTGGTCATATGATGGGCCGAGTTGTACTTGTTCTATTTAAGTTTTGCTTAGCTTTTTGTTATTGTTGTTTTTTTGTTTGTTTTTAGTTATGCATTTTACCAGGTTTTGGTTTTTTTTTTTTTTTGGTGCATTTCTACTCAAATATTTTTTTCTGTGCCTTTCTCTTCCCTCCTATCTTTATGAAACTCCAATTAAGATGGTTAGATCACTTGTTATTCTGCAAATCTCAGTCAAAAATTATACAAAAATTGCAGATATTGTTATTTTTCAGTTTTAAAATTTCTATTTAGTCATACATATATTATTTCTAGGCTTATTCATATTTAAAAAAACAATGTAAGTTCTTGTCTGATATTTACTTATCTGGGTCATCTTTGGCTTGATCTTTTTTGATTGACTCTGCCTCTCCCCAGCCACACTGTTCCTTTAGATATCTAATATTTGGGGATTGAATCCTAGACATTTAGAATGTTATGTTGTGGGGACTCTGGACTCTATTCCTCCAAAGAGTTAATTTTCTTTTCTCTTTTTGGGGCTGGGGATAGAACCCAGGGGTAATTAGCCACAGAGCCACATCCACAACCCTTTTCATTTTTTGAGACAGGTTCTTGTTAAGTTGCTGAGGGCCTCACTAACTTGCTGAGGCTGACCTTGAACTTTTGACCTCTTGCCTCAGTCTTCAGTCCCTGAAATTACAGGTGTGGGCCACTGTGCTTGGCCAAGTTACTTTTCTTTTAGCAGACAATAAATATGGTTAAACTTGAACTAAAAACTGTCACACTTTTGGATGATAGCTCAAATCTCCATTTAGGTGCTTTTTCTTAGCTTAGCTGTTTGCCATCTGAACATGGTGGTTCAGAATTCAGCCAGAGACTTGTACATTTTCCACACACAAACACTTCTCAGCCTCTTTTCTTTCCAGAATTTTCCTCCCACTTTGTCCTTTGCTCTGCCTTCCTCAGGCCCAAAGGATATTGGTTCTCCATGGGAACTTCTGCTGTTCTGTGCCATGCATTGCCTGTGTGTAGAAAGCACTAACACCAGGAAACACCCTATGCTGGCCCCTTCCATGTTGACTCTACAGAATTGTTTGGCTTTGTGGACTCTCCAGAGTCTTAAGAGAATTTTTTTTTTTTTGAGTGTTTATAATTGTTATACATAGATTAGTCTCCTGGGAAGTTATTCCACTATATAGGAAGTAGAATTTGAGAATATTTGGTTACAAAAACATGTAAAACTAACATGTCCTTACCATATGAGTGAGTGCACTTATAGGTATTTACCCAAATGAATTGAAAATTAATGTACATATAAAATCTGCACATAGATGTTTATGGCAACTTTATTAATAATTGCCCAAACTTAAAAACAACCAAGATGTTCTTTGGTAGGTAAATGATAGAGAGTACTATAGCAATACAATGGAACATTATTCAGTGCTCAGAAAAGAGACAGGCTACAGAGCCATGAAAAGATTGTATGGTAAGAATATATTTAGCTTTTTTTGTTTTTTTAATTTTTTAGTATATTTAGTTTTGTAAAAAAAAACTGCCAAACTATCTTCCAAAATGGCTATGGTGTTCTGCAAATGAATTTCAGAATGTTTGTTGCTATTCACAAAATAACTTCCTGGACCTTTTTTTTTTAAGTGTGATTTTTTTTTTTTTTTTTTTTTTTAGTTGTAGTTGGACACAATTTATTTTTTAGGTGGTGCTAAGGATTGAACCCAGCACCTCACATGTGCTGGGCAAGCGTTCTACCGCTGAGCCACAACCCCAGCCCCTTTTTCCTGGGCCTTTAACTGAGATTGTTTCAAATCTACAGATCAACTTGGGAACTGATAACTTGACAGACTGTTTTCCCATCGTCTAAGAACATGGAATAGGTCACCATTTATTCATTTATTTGATTTTGTTCATCAGATTTTGTAGTTTTTCCTCATACAATTTGTATATATGTGTATGTATGTAAATATATTGTTACATTTATGCCTAAATATTTTATTTTGGGGATGTTAATGTAAATGGTATTATTTTTAATTTCAAATTACATTTCAATTGCTGATATATAGGAGAGCAATTGACTATGTGTATTAACCTTGCATACTGAAATTATAATTGTTTATTAGTTCCAGGAGCTTTTTGTTGATTCTTTCAAATTTTTGTCTTATTGTTAGTTCTTGTTAAATTCTGATAGCCTTGTTGCCTAGTGGTGAATGAGATGTAACCACAAAGCTTTAGGAAAATAAAGATTGATATTATTAAAATATGGAACCATTAACTCTGAGGTTTCCTGTGTTTTACAATCAGACAAATCTATTTCAAGGTCATCTTGTGGGCCACTGTGACCCATTATCCCTAAAATATCTTTCCATCACTTAATTTAAAACTTAAATTCCTGTATCATTTAATCTGGTGGTGGTTACTTTTTCTCTTATGAAGGAAAAAAAATGCTGCTTCATGTGTTATAACCATGTTTTCCCAGTGGTCCTCTATATGGAGCATCCATGTACCCTCAGTAATCCAGTAAATGAACTGTCATAAGGACACAGGAAATATGGGAACTGAATGACTTGCAAAAAGAATGTGGTAGGTAATAAGTACACCTCCCTAACCATAACTAGAGTGAACTTAAAACATTTTTAATGAATTATCTGAGAGTTAAGATGGGGGAAGTAATACTAATACTAAATACTTCAATATATATTTTCCATGCACAGGATATTCCTTTACAAACCCACTGTCCAGTTATCAAGATCAGGAAATACAACACTGATACAGTATCAATATGTAATCTGATGACCATATTTAAATTTTGTCTATTATCCCACTAATAGCTAATTATTTTCTCCTTAGTTCATTTTCTCTGGTCTACCAATCTGGTTGATGCTGGGTCATTCATTGGCTTTAGTTGTCATGTCTCTCTAATGTCATTTACTCTGGAACTTCTCCTTGGTCTTTTAAATTTTTCCCCCCATCTTGTTATTTTTTGAAAAGTATAGTTGGATTATTTTACAGAATATCCCTAAACTTAGGTTTTTCTTGTTTTCACTCATGAGTAGTCAGGTGATTTATTTTTGATAGGAATACCACAGAAATGACAGAAGGCACATGGAATCAACTTGTACCAATACTGGAGATGTCGAAGTGATTATCTTCCAGTTCTCCCCACTATAAAGTCATCATTTTATCTTTGAAATTATTAGATAATTTTTGTAAATATTCTGTTCTTCATCTAACTTTGACTTAAAATGACTATGATATCTACAACTGTTTACCTATGATAGTCTATTGCTATAATAACCTTTAATTGTGATTATTTTCTGATTAACATTCTTGTGTATTTTTGGTATCCTGTGGCTAACAGCTGTCCATTCTTATTCATTTTTATATCATATTGAACTCTATATTTGTGAAATATAAGCCATTATTTTATTTTTATTTTGATGCTCAAAATAATCTGCCCCAGATTTGGCAATGGAAGCATTATTGCGGGGGCATCTGTGACTTTTTTATATATTCCTGTCAGTTTTTGCATACCTCTTGCTTTCCAGTAGGATAAAATGCTCTAAGTTAATCTTGTCCTGCTCCAGTTCTTGTATCAGCTATTTTTCTGAGGAAATATAATTCCTTCTAGTTGGGAATAGTATTGAGAAACTGAGATCTGGGTTTTACGTGTACCCATTGCTTCTGAGGTTTCATTGCCTTATAGTCCTCTCAATATCTGTATATTGAATAAATTTTTTAAAAAAATTATTTATTATAATTTGTTATATGTGACAGCAGAATGCATTTCACTTCATAGTACATATATAGAGCACAATTTTCATTTCTCATTGTACACAAAGTGTTTTCACACCATGCATTTCTTCATACATTTACTTAGGGTAATGATGTACATCTCATTCTAACGTTTTCCCTACCTCCATGTCCCTACCCTTCCTCTCCCTCCCCTTTGCCCTATCTAAAGTTCCTCCATTCCTCCCATGCTCTCCCCCACATCCCCATTATAGATCAGCATCCTCATATCAGAGAAAACATTCCACATTTGGGTTTTTGGGATTGGCTTACTTCACTTAACATTATATTCT